AAAAATAATATAAAACAAAAAAAAATTTTTTTTTTTATTTAATTAAAATTTTAAAAAAAAAAAAAAAAAAAAAAAAAAAAAAAAAAAAAAAAAATGAAAATTATAAATTCATTTCATGTGACGAAAAAAATTCATCATTTTTTTCCCCGAATTAAGAAACAAACAAACAAAAAAACTTTATTAACTTTGAAAAACATTTTCATTTCCATCTCTCTCTCTCTCTCTTGCTTGCTTTTTTACGCTTTTTTCCATAGAAATTAAAATTTTTGATTTTGCGATAAAAACTGTTTAATGAATGAACGAATGATTTTTTTTGGTAATTTATTTCATCTTTATGATCAAAAAAAAAAACATTGATTTTTTCTTTCATTTTTGATTGGAAAATTCTCTTAAAAATTATGGGAAAATGATAAGAAAGAAAATGACGATGATTAAGTTGATTATGTTGATGATGATGATGATGATGATTGTTGTGCTAATACATTATCATCAATACTTTCATATAATTCAATTAATGGTAGAATAAAATTTTGCCAACGTAATGGTCGTTTCCATTCAGGTATTTTCCCAATAATTCCATCACATTTATCCGATTCTTCTGTATATTCACCACATGCAACCGATAACAAATCATTTGTATAACCAGATAAAAGATTTTCAATTTCATCATGTGCACCAGTATTGGTTGGACATATTTTTACCAATTTATTGATACCAATATTTTTCCATTTATAATATGAACTAATTGGATGATTCAAACAAAAGAATATTCAGTTAGTTTTTTCAAACAAATGATAACAAAACAAAAACACTTACCAACATGCTAATGGTATACGTAAATTTTGTTTTTTAACCAAAGGTAGTGCATGAAAATCAGTGGTCAGATTTCGTAGAATATTCGAAAATAATGGTATTTGTTCATGTGCACAATCAATAAGATTTAAAAATGATTTTTGTCGTTTTTTATTCGTACAAATACGTTTATTTGTACGTGACATACTAAACATCATTATTGATAATGTTTGTTTAGAGAATTTAGTTAAACATTTTGTAGCAAAATCTTTTAGACATCTTTCCATTGGTGCAATACGATCACACCATTCTTTCAATTCGGTTGATGTTTTGGGTGGTTTTTCAATAAATTTTTCATCCGTTAATGGTATTAATGTTAGGGCACATTTATCAGCACGTTGACATTTTTTACCGGTTGAAATGGCACCATCAACATTTGATTTTATTACCAATAATATAATGATAATAAACGATAATAATTGGAAAATCACTGAATAAAATTTCAATCCAATCATCTTTTTCATCAAGTTTTATTTTTTGGTAACTAAAAGATTTTTGTATTTTTTGGGCAAAAATTGTTGCAGTATTTAAGCGAAAAAAAAACAAAATCCATTTTCAAATCAATCGAATCAATCAATATCTTTCATACACACATGTTGATATTAACACATTCGCTACCGGCGGTTTTTTTTTTTGAAAAACACATTGAACTACAGCAAATGGACAACGTATATATACGTCGCTGGTAGCGAAACGTGTTAATGATGATTATTACGTAGTAACGACAAAAAAAAAAATTTATTTTTAACGACAGATATTCTACACCACTCTCTCTCTTGTGTGTGTGTGGGTTAAATCGAAAACCCGTTTCAATTTTTCTTTGATCATGTTTTTTTTCCATAAAGAATTCTGTCAAAAATCAAAAATGAAGATTTTTTTCCAGTGAATTTCGCTTTTGATTTTTTCCACTGTCCATTTTTGATTTGGAAAAATAATTTCAATTCATAAACAAAAATGTGAAAAATGTTTTTTTGGTTGAAATGAATAAAACATTTTGAATGGTTTTTTTGTTAACACTTTTTTTTTTAATTATTCAATGTCATTTTATAAATATGGAAAAAATTGTTGATGAATGATGACCATCATCATCATGATTGTGGCAATACATTATCATCAATACTATCATATAATTCAATTAATGGTAGAATAAAATTTTGCCAACGTAATGGTCTTGTCCATTCAGGTATTTTTCCAATGATTCCATCACATTTATCCGATTCTTCAGTATAATCACCACATGCAACTGATAATAAATCATTTGTATAACTTGTTAAAAGATTTTCAACTTCTTCATGTGCACCCATATTGGTTGGACATAATTTTATAATATTATTAATAGCTGCGTTTTTCCATTTGAAATGGGAACTGAAAGAATATTCGGTTAGTTTTTTTGTCGATTCAATTCAAACAAGAATAAACAACTTACCAACATGCTAATGGTAAACGTAAATTTTGTTGTTCAACCAACGGTATAGCATGAAAATCTATGGTCAAATTTCGTAGAACATTCGAAAATAATGGTAATTGTTCATGTGCACAATCAATAAGATTTAAAAATGATTTTTGTCTTTTTTTATTCGTACAAATACGTCTATTTGTACGTGATATACTATACATTAATATTGATAATGTTTGTTTGGATTGTTTATTCAGACATTTTTGAGCAAAATCTTTCAAACATCTTTCCATTGGTACAATACGTTGACACCATTCTCTCATATCCGTTGATGTTCTTGGTGGTTTTTCAATAAAATTTTCATCCGTTAATGGTATTAATGTCAATGCACATTTATCAGCACGTTGACATTTTTTACCCGTTGTTATCGTTGTTGGTGTTGTTGAAATAGCATCACCATTAACACTTATCAATATGGTAAGGATTACAAACAATAATTTAAAAATTACTAAATAAAATTTTGATCCAATCATTTTTTGGTTTGATGATTTGAAACGTTTTTTTTCAAATAATAAAAAATTCCAGAAAAAATTTCGCAGTATTTATTCAGAAAAAAAATCCATTATCATTCAAATCAATCGTTTACCATGTTTGCATTCAGTTTTGAATAAATTCAAGTTTTTTTCAACGACAAATATTTACCCTCTTTTGCTTCTTGAGTGTTTGTGTTTTTTGATTAATCTTTATCACGAAGAAAAAAGAACATTTTTGAAAAACAGTGTTTTTTCTCTCAAAAGAATTTTATCAATTCCAAGAAAATCAAAAATCAAATGTTAATGATTTTTCCATTTTGATTTTGATAAAAATGATAAACAAATTGAATTAACTTTTTTGTTTTTGAAAAATTGATTACCATCATTATGATGGTTGTGGTAATACATTATCATCAATACTATCATATAAATCAATTAATGGTAGAATAAAATTTTGCCAACGTAATGGTCGTCGCCATTCCGGTATCTTCCCGATAATTCCATCACATTTATCCGATTCTTCAACATAATCACCACATACAACTGATAGCAAATCATTTGCGTAACCTGTTAATAAAATTTCAACTTCTTCCGATGCTTGATGATTTGTTGGACATAATTTTATAATTTTATTGATGGCAATATTTTTCCATTTATAATATGAACTAAAAATGTAATTGAAAATTAGATAATAATTTAAAACGGTATATTAAAGCAAACCAAATAACTTACCAACATGTTAATGGTATACGTAAATTTTTTTCATCAACCAATGGTATTGCATGAAAATCTATGGTCATATTTCGTAGAATCTGGCCAAACAATGGTAATTGTTCATGTGCACAATCAATAAGATTTAAAAATGATTTTTGTCTTTTTTTATTTGTACAAATACGTTTATTTGTACGTGTTACACTATACATCATTATGGATAATGTTTGTTTGGAAAGTTTATTTAAACATTTCACAGCAAAATCTTTTAAACATCTTTCCATTGGTACAATACGTTGACACCATTCTTTCAATTCGGTTGATGTTCTTGGTGGTTTTTCAATAAATTTTTCATCCGTTAATGGTATTAATGTTAGGGCACATTTATCAGCACGTTCACATTGTTTACCCGTTGTCGATTGTGTTAATATAGCATCACCATTAACACTTGATATGATCAATATGGTAATTATAAATGAAAATTTTGAAATCATTATCATTATCATTATACCTGTTTCGGTAAAAAAAAATTCCAAGAAAAAAGAAAATTCTTCCTATTTATACCAATCAACAACAACAACAAAAATTGAAAAGGGGTTAAAAAACTGATGTTCTATTAACCCCCCACACTCTCTCTCTCGAAAATTCCGAAAATAGAAACTTTTACTGATATCTTAGAAGTGAAAAGAAAAAATAAATAAACAAACTTGTTTATTTCAATGTTTTTTCCCAAGAAAAACAAATTTTTTAGTTACTTTTTTGTTAATCAACAACCAAAAATCGTCTAGAAAAATCTTTAAAATTTTTAACCCTCTCTCTCCATTTTCAATTTGAGGACCCTCTTTTTCGGATTTTTTTTTTTGAAAAAATGAAAAACAACAAACGAAATTGTGAAACAAAAATTATTGTAAATTATTTAATAAATCAACTAAAACCATAATAAAACTTTTCCATTTTAATTTTTTGTTGTTGTCCATCACCGTTGTTGATATCGATTGTATCGATGGTAATGTTTGACATTTATCCGAATCTTCTGTATAATCACCACAAATTAGATTAAATAAATCACCACTATAACTATCGATCCAAATATTTAATTCATTTTGTGCTTGCCGATTATTTGGACAATTCCTCATCATTTCACCGATCATTGATTCTTTCATTCGATAACTATTGCTATGATTTTAATGGGGGAAAAAATCAAAAGTCAAAAGTCAAAAATCAATCAATCAATGAAAACATACCAACAAATCATTGGAAATTTCAATTTCTGTCGTTTTTCCAACGAAATCCGATACAATGTTTCGGTAAGATTTTTTAATAAAATATTTTGATAAAAACCGGGATTCTTTTTCAAACAAATCATCATTGCCAGCGTTGTTTGTTTACGTTTTTGTTTGGAACAAATTTTACGATTCAACCGAGATACTGAATATAACATTACTGATAATGTTTGTCGGGCTTCAGATTTCATACAATTCTCCGCATAATTTCGTAAACATTTTTCATTCAATAATATTTGCCGACATAATTCATCAATATCATTGATTTGTATTGATGATGATGATGATCGTTGTTTCATTATAAAATCATTTGTTAATGGTATCATATTTAATGCACAATAATCATATTTGGTTTGATTATTACAATTTACTATTGTTGTTACACTTGTTGAATTTTTTCTTTTTGTTTGTTGTTGACTAAATGAATCACAAATGGCTAACCAAATAAATACGATAAAAATTGAGAAAGTTTTCGGAAACATTTTTTTTTCACTGTTTTTTTTTCCGAGAAATTTCTCTGTTGAAAAACGAAATAAAAAAAACGAAGTTTTTTGAAAAAATGTTTGAAACCCTTTTTTTTCGCTTCTTTAAATAATTTTTTTTTTTGAGGTACCCAAAGAAGAAACAAAATTCTTATCGCTTTTGAAAGTATTTATCAAAAGGGTTAATAAATCACGTCATTTTTTTTTCTTGGAAGAAAAAAATTCATTTAAAATTCATTTGATAATGAGAATATATTAATTTCGTTTTTGATTTTTCCTTCTTTTTGTTTCTGTAAATCCAAAAAAAAACTGACAGAAACACCTGATACATCATCACATCATCACCATTGACCATGCAAGGTAACATTTGGTCAAAAAACTACACTAATGGTCAGCAAACCGTGATGGTGATGACGGTCAGGAGATTTGAACTTTTTTTGGCCAGAAAAAAATATTATTATCGCCTCTCTCTCTCCCTCTCTTACATCGCTTAGCATCGTCCATTTCAACGCAAAAAAAAATCAAGATAATCTGCGCACATGGTTTACACACATCTTTCGGTTTTTTTTCCTAATCTCCTTCATCATCATCAATCAATCAATTAATCATTTTGCAATGTTTTTTTGTTTTCAAAAAAATCCTGATTAAATCTTGAATTTTCAAAATTCAAAACATCAATCAATCAAACGTACGTACTTTTTCAATAAATCATCCGGTTTTTTGGTATTCGAATCGAAGCAAAAAAGATTCGATTGTTTTGTTTTTCGCTGATTTTACTAACTAACTGAATAACTAACTTCGAAAAATTTTGTCTATTTTTAAATTTGACCTTTTTTTTCTGTTTTTCTCACTGTGATGAAACATGCTGCCAAAACACAGCTGCTTTCGTCATCATCATCATCATCCATCAACGGTTTATTGTGTGTACCAGATGTTGCAACAGCTAATGTGTGTTTGTTTTTCATTTGAATATGAAATTCTTTTCGAATGAATTTACCACCAAGGCTTTAAACCGAAATGAAATATTCTTGGCAATCATTTTGGCGAATAATATGATGCGCGCCAACACCCAGAAAAAAACAAACATCACTTATGCATAAATAAGAGAAATTCTTACGTCCATCCTGCTGAAAAAACCAAGTGTTAATTGAATTTTTCGTTTTTATTATCAACAGCAACAAGTGGTACATAGACTCTCTCTCTCGTCAACTTCGAACCTTGTTATATGATTTAAAACAACCTTTGACCTGATCGAAACTGACATGTTGACCTGACTTGATCGAAGAATATTTTTTTCCTGAAAAAACAAAATTATTATGGCTAAAACTCAACATCACCATAACAATAATAATGATGATATGGCACGTAAATCATCATCAACGTTGGATTGTTGTTTACCTATGCCAAAACCTGTAAGTATTTTTCCTTTCCCTTTTATAATAATAAACCAAAACAAACATTAATGAGAAACTTTTTTTTACTTTGAACATAGCGTTCCGATGTTGATTATGTACGTGAAAGTCAATTTTTATTATGGTTATGGAAAATGATTGAAGAAATATCATTTAGTTATGAATATGAACAATATTTACGTGATGGTGTTATATTATGTCGATTAATGGAAAATGTTGCACCGAATTTATTCAACAACAACAATGATGGTAAACATCAACGATCATCATCAGATGGAAAAGGTTCATCTAAAAAGAATTTTCAACCATCCAACATCATCATTGAAAAAGGTGAAAATAAACAACAAAAATCTGAAAATATTCATCGATTTTTAGATGCATGTCGTCAATATGGTTTAAACGATACAGAATTATTTGAAGTTGAAGATTTATTATCAATGCTGGATATGCCTAAAGTTACTAAATGTCTTTATCGTTTAGGTCAATTTGTAAGTGTTTATTGATAGATTTTTATCAATTTTTTATCGATTTTTGTTTCAGATAGCCGAAAAAAATGATAATAAACCATTATTAGGTAAACCATATGATGAATGGCTTAATGAACAAATCGAAATGAATGAAAAAAATATTGAATATTTTGGTGGATCATCAAATATACGTCGTAGACATGGTATGCCATTTGGTGATGATTTATTAGTATCACATGTTAGCACTGAATTTGTTAAACAACGTTTGAACCGGAATGTTAATAAAAATCGTATTCGACGATTACCAAGAGATCCATTAGTACAAAGACAACCATCAATACCATTGGCAAATTTAAAAGCAATTTTTACTGGTGAATGTCAACCACTTCAATATAATAATAATGATCAATCGAATATTTAATTTCAATCAAATATCATGATGATAAAATTCTTTAACACTAATCATAAACCAAATATAAATAGTATTGAATAAAATAAATATGATTGGAAATAACCAACGTGAATAATAATCAATTTTTGATGATTGTTGATCGAAAAATATTCTTGATTCAAGAATATTCTGTTGTTGTTGTTGATTCGTTGATTGTTGTGATTGGCCAGCCACCACAGCCGTATTCGTATTGGACAAACATAAACATCGATGTATAAAACGATAACGATGTGAATGTTCATAATAACCAACCATTGCATATTCAATTAATGATAAAAATACCATTATAAAACAAACAAATAAATAAATATCTAATGCTTTTACATAAGAAATTTTTGGTAATGATTCCATTGTACTTGTTATTAATGTTGTTATTGTTAATACTGTTGTAACACCGATTGCAACACGTTCAACATGATCATCATGACCAAGCCAAAATGGTATCCATGATATTAAAACAATAAGAAATGCCGGTATAAATGTTTGATAAAGATAATAACCAATTGAACGTTCAATATCAATATAAAGTATTAGATGGCTAAATGTACCAACATCATTATGACGAATTTTATGACTATTATTCAGATTCGAAACAGTAAATGTTGCTAGATTACGATCTTCTAATATAATTTCACCGGATGACCATTTATAGATAATATCATCGATTGTATAGCCATCTATTGATGAAAAGAATGAATGGAAACAAAAAAATTAGCAATTTGTAAATGGATTTTTGAAATAAACAAACGAAACTTACAGCTACCAAAATTTAATTGACAACGTTGACGATCGGCTGGAAAATATGATAAATCCATTGGACAACTAGCAACAACAGTCATACGTGTACTGTATAGGATTGATCCATTATAATCTAATTCGATTAATGTATTTGATCCGGTTGATGCAGTTGATTTATGTGTTTGAAATGATTTTCCATTCAAAAAAAATGTATCCGGTAACCAAATTAATTGATAAAAATCACCACCCATAAACAAACGAGTAACATTTCCAATTGGTTCGAATTTTAAACGTGAATCACGCCAATATTGACGAAAATGTAGATCGATAGTAAAATCCTTTTTTTTCGAACGAAAAACAAACAAATAACCGATACAGATTAGGTGAATATAGTTTTTTTTTGGTTTGAAATAGTTTCGAATACTAACCATATTTACATCGGATATATCATAAATAGCATGTATGGCAATTCGAACATTAACAATTAATGGTTGTCCACTACCATAATCCGGACGAATATCTTTATTATAATGTCTTCGGCTTACCATATTACGTACCATTTCACTTATTTTCAATACATCGGATGAACATTGGCAACTAAAAAAAACAAAAACAAAACAACAGTGATTCAGATGATCAACTGATTAATTTGATGGTGAAAAAAACAAACAGAATTACATTTGGATCGTATTCAATGATAATATTGACCAGATGATAATTGTTTGAATCTGAAAAGAATGCATTTTATTCTCATCACTTTTTTTTCATCAATGATGATGATCAAAACATTCGAAACGAATCAATTTTTTGGCTATAATGGATTACCAAATAACGACCCCAGACCACATCTATTTAACCATCATCCAAATCATCATCATATAAACAATCGATCAATGAATTGTGAATTTTTTTTATTGATGGTAAATTTCTGTGCAAAAAGAATATTCTCTTTTTTTTTTGATTGGCAGCCAAAAATTATTCTTTTTTCCCTTTCAAACATAAACTTTAAAAAAAAACGAAAAAAAATTTATTCGTCAAACACACATAGACAGACAGATAGACAATAGATTTTAATTTTTTTTCAGCAAAAAAAAACCACAGCAATGATTAATGACATAAACAAATGAATCGATTAAAAAGAAAAACAACAATAATCAACAATAACAAATTGTTTTTCGTTTTTTGACCAAAAATCTGAATTTAAGTGCACGTGTATTCTCTATGTATAAGGGCAAATTGATTGATTGATTGATTGAAATGTTTCAGATGATGATGATGATGAGATCACATGTTTTTTAATTTCATGGATCAATTTTGATCGATTATTGAAAGATTATTAGATGGATTTGTTGTTCCATCAAAGATAAGTGGATGCGGTGGAGGTGGTGGTGGTGGATAAGAAGCTATTCTTGTTGGAAAAGAAGCTGCCAACATTATTGGATTAGTGGAATATGGTAATGTGGAAGAAAGTGGTTTGCCAATAATTGGATTTGTATGATGAAAACATGATTTATAATGTTGAATGTTGTTCGATGTTGATGATGATGATTTTGTATTCGATTCGTTGATAATGGTAGATTCGGCTATTGTTGATGATGTATTTGATGATAATGATGACGATGATGATGATGATGATGAAGATGATATAAAGGCCATTGTTGTTGATGGATTCGCTGGCAATCTGGTTGCAAATGATTCAATATTATTCTGATGTTGTTGTTGTTGTTGGGCATAAAAGGCTGCTGTTTGAGCATAATAATTTAGATAATAATCAGCTATATTATTTGGATCGATTAATGAATTTGTTGATGGTGAATGATTTGCATGACTTCCATTAGCCACTGCTGTTCCTGTAGCAATCAAACCTGGATGTTGTGGATAAGCTATATGCGGTGATGTTATCGAAGCATACAGTGGTGAATATAATCCTGATGAATGATTCTGACCATATGGAATATTGAAAGGCATTGTTGTTGTTGTTGGTGTTTGTGGTAATCTATTATTCGTTGTTGTCGTTGTTATTGGCCGAAATTGTGAATTAAAACTATTAGATGTAGCTGATGCTTGTTGTTGAATACGTGCAGAATGAAATGGTTGAAAATAAAGAATAGTTCCTCCCAATGGTGTTGCCAATACTGGATTCAATTGATTTGATAATGAATTTGTTGCATTGGTGGTAGTAATGTTATCTGCCTGATTTGAAGCAGCTGCTACACGTCCATTATCATTAAGAAGAATTTTAGTCAAATGTGCTGTACTAAGTGTTTGATCTAAACCAGCACTTGCAGCCATACGTTTTTGTTGATAACAAATTGGTTGTGGTTGGGCTTTTTTTACATCACAAATACGATTGATAATAAATTGCCGAGGATAAAAACAAGCACGATCAACAGCCATTTCACTGTCGAATACAATAAAACAAAATTCACGTTTACGATTACGTATTTTATCTTTTGGTGATTCGATTGCGATTACCTTTGAAAAAATGAAAAAAAAATCCGCTTAATTAACCGCAAAGAAAACACGAAACAAAAGATACATACCGTTCCATATTGTGAAAAATATGTACGAATATCTTGTTCAGTGATCAATGGATCCAAACCACCAACAAATATTTTCTTACAAATTGGTCTATATTTTGCACGTTTTAATTCAATAATTTTACCTTTTATAATATGTACAGGTTTACGTAATATTTGACGAACAATATCTTCCGATTGAAATGTAACAAAACAAAATCCCCTAGTTAAACATGACATTGGATCATATTTAATATTGATTTCGGTAACTTTACCAAAATGACTGAAATAATATTCAAGATCATCTATAGATGTGTGTGATATGGTCAATTAGAAACAGGTCACCATCATTATCACCAAATTACTTACATTCAGTCGTATCCCATGGCAGTCCACCGACAAAGATTTTACTATTAAAAAAAATCATTTAAAGAAAATTAAACCAATTCCAATTAGCCAAAACAGAAAAAAATAGGTAATCCATTAGCAAATAGAAAAAAGATTATTATTATTATTATTAATGACAATCTCATTATGAAAAAAGCTTTTTTCTCTTCATTTCATTTTCATTTTACGAATTGCTAAATAGTTAGTAGATAGCCATTGTTGTAATCATTATCAACAACAACAGCAACAAAATAAAATAATAAAAAAAAGCTATTTTAAGAATCGAGGACGACATTAAAGAATTATCATGATGATGATGATGATGATGATGAATATATTCGTCACTATCATTACTAAACTTTGTTTTCTGCTTTGTAGTTTTGTTTTTAACTGTTTTTTATTCCTGTCATACATCAAAAAAAAGCTAGACAACAAAAGACTTGGTTGACAGATGACAGGCAACAACCACTTGTCACTTTTGAAAAAAAGTAGAAAAAAAAATTCAAATTTTTTTTTTCGTTTGAAATTGAAAAAAACAAGGTGTCAAATCGGAAAACTGAATCGATGCCGGGTTAAAAAAATTCTGTATGGACGATACGGATGTTATTTTTGAAGATTCTGGGTTGATGCCAAATTAGTGAACAAAAAACTGATTGCATTCTGGTTTGGGGTTACGATTCATTTGTTTTCGGGTTGCAATGTGACAATTTTCGACAAAACAACAACAACAACAACAAAATCCGACAAACATTTAAACAAATGGCATCCAATAAAATCGAATGGAATTTAAGTTTTTACGAGATTCATGAAAGCTACGCACATAAACATTCTTTTCTTTTTCGAAGTAATCAATCAAAGTTTAGCTTCTTTTTTCAAAATTTGATGACAACAACAGCGATCATTTAACGACAATTATCATCATATGATATGGATGCTTTTTTAAAGAAAATAAATAAATTAAAAACTTACTTTGGTTCATCATCTTGTTCACGACATTCATTAACATTTTGTTCTGGTTGATCTTCAATAACACCAAATCCATTCGGATCATATGTTGATGGTGGTGTTCGTTGTCGTTGTTGTTGTTGTTGTTGTGATGATGATAATGTTCCACCATCATCATTATCACTATTCAATGATTCCATTGTTGATAATTGCTGTGATGATAATGATGGTAGAGGTGGGGGTGTTGATGGTGATTGTATTGATTCACCATAACAACTACTACTCATACAACCACTATCCGAATCATTTGATGATTGACAAATATTCATTGGACTTGTCGTTATTCGTTGATGATGATGATGATCAATGTTTTCGTCGATAATTTGTTGTTGTTGTTGTTCGGAATGGTTTACATAAAAATCATTGGAGGATTGTTGTTGTTGTTCATGCTGATGATTGGAAGAATTTGTTGTTGAATCCCATATTGGACGCCTTAATCGGCGACGTTTATTTTGATTGGAATATTCTTGCGTTGTTGTTTGTTGTTCTTTACGTTTACAGGGATTGTTTTCCAAACATTCAAAAGAATTTTTTGATGATGATGATTTTGGAATTTCTTCGTTTACCTTTCCATCGCCATCATCATTACCATCATTATCACAAGATAAATTATCATCAATAGTAATCATACCATCATTTATTGTTGAATTGATAATTGTTTTGGAAAAAGAATTGGATTCTGATTCTTCATTTGATTGTTGATTTTTCAAATGTTCAACATTATTTGATTCATCCGATATAATGACTGTCGTTGTCGCTGAATTTTTTGTTGTTCCAATAATTTTATTCGAACGTAATTTCATACCATACATATTATGTGAATGATGATATCTATTGTTATCTATGCTACTACTACTATTATCGTTATTACTTATTGTTTGACCACTACGATTCGAATGATTGGATTCTGGTGGTCGTTCTGATTGTCGTCGACGTCTTTGTTCGCCTCGGTTATTACTGTTATCATCATCAACATTATTAATGAATGGATCATTTGAAAGTTTTGAATCCGGTAATTCATGATGATGGTGGTGGTATTCATCATCATTATCACCGATATCATCATTATCTTCTTCTGCTACATTATCATGATTAGAATTCGGTAAACATCGATAGCGGTTATTGTTGTTGTTGTTGACCATTTTTTCTTCTTTTCAATTTTAGCTCCGACAAACAAGCGAAATTCGTTGCCCGAAAAACAAGTGAGCAGAATCCGTTTTCCGCTTTTTACTTTTAATACCGTGACCAAAACAAATCAAGATGAAGAAACGAAAAAAAAAGATGAAATTACAGATTATATTTGAATTTGTTGTTTTTCTGTTGTTGTTGATGATGAATGTTTCGTAACTAACTGCACTCACAACTTGAAATTACAAGAATTTTTTTTCATTATTCGCAAGAGAACCAAACTAGAAAAGTACTTGAAAGATTTCTTCTTCTTCTTTTGGTTTCACAACGATATTACAACACACACACACACACACCAGCCAGTAATGACGGACATGGGTATGTTGAAAAAAAAATTGAATAAATAATATATGTGTTTATAATTAAAAACAGAAAATGGTCAACTTTTTTTCGTTAGATCTGGATATTCTAGATCTGATCGTTCCAGAATCAAATTGGTCACCAAAATAAAAATGTACTCAATGAAATGAACATTTGTTGTTGTTGTTGTTGTTGTTGGCAATTTGGATATTTAATCAACAACAAAAATGAAGAAAATTTCATTCGAGGAGGGAGGAGTGATTGTCGTCGTCGTCGTTTTGGAACACTTTTATTAAAATGAATCGTGAATGGCACCGAAATGAAACAGAAAAAACCGAAAAAAAAATCACTATGGATGATGATGTTTTTTTTTGGCTTTTTTTCTAGGTAAAAGTAATCATCGTTCCAAGAATAAATTATTGATAATAATGATTTGTTTTTTGTTTTTGCAGAGAAATTCCCCAAAAACAAAGAATCAGTTGGGAAAAGAAGATCAGATCGAACGTGAGAATTTGTAATGAACCAAACCAAACAAAGTAAGTAAGCCAGGAATATGATTTCTGTTTTCTGTACTTTCTTGATTCACCCAGTTTTTTTTTCTTCTCTTTTGCTGTAATAGAATATTGAAATGAAATTGTCGAACATCATTACATATGCAAGATGCAAAATGATGATGATGGTGATGAGTATCTGGGATTGTTGAAAGTCATGTTTTTTATTATTATTTTATTTTTTGGCAATTTTCATTTATGATTTCATCACCATACACACACAGAGAAAGACTTTTTCTCCGCTGTTCATCAGTTTTAAATCTGGATTCTGTTTTCGTAAAAAAAAAATATTTCCCCCTCCATCAAAAGAATCATATAAATAAGTATCTAGTGCGCCTGAACTATATTATTACCCAGACGCCCAAACAGTTCACTTTCAACAGTTTGTATTATGCTGAACAAGAACAAAAAAAATAACCGACATTGCACATATACATTGACATCGACAATGAATTTTTATTTTATTTTATTTTTGATCATTATCAAAAACATAGAAATAATAATCAAAAATGACAATGGATTTTATCATGAAAATCATGAAGAACATAATGCAAGTAATGAAAATTGTAAACTATCCGGATCTTGAAGCATATATTGTTTGATTATGGCCAATGTTTTACGTTGAAAATTATCATTATCATTATTCGATGATGGCAATGATGAATGTAGAATTGGTGATGATTGACGACCATCCAATTCAAATATTTGACCATTATATGGAACAAATGCAACATAATGATAATCAATATTTGATAATTGTTCATCAGTTGGTAATTGACTTTGACCAATCATTGCTTGATTATGATGTAATTGTTTTATTGATTGATTCGATGCAAATGAATGTCCACGTTCTTCAGGGGTATGATTACGATTTTCCTGAAAAAAACAACCAATCAATGAATCATTATTATTACCAGCGATCAATTTATCCGATGAAATTGTATTAATATAAGCAAGAAATAATGCAACTGAACCGCATGAATTTTGTACAAATTGTCGCATAAAGAATAGATTTTTAATACGATCATCATCCAATGGAACATATTCACCCAATCGACGATAAGTTTTCATTGTAAATAAAAATATATATGCTATAATATTATGAAATTCAAATATGCCCATTTCATCAACTAAATCAATCGATGGTATATCAATTAAATAACGATCATTTGTTATCGTTGTTGTTGATCCATTTGTTAATGAACGAAGATAATCAGTCATTATTATTGGATCAGATTCTAATGGTAACCAACAACATTGTTCTTTTTCTTCATCTTTATTTTCGGTTTTCATTTTATCTTTATCATCCATTTCGGACATTTTTTTCTTTTGGTTTATTCACAAACGATAATAGACCACCACCTTCAAAATCAATTCTGTTGATTAAATTTATCGGGTTATTTATTTGATTGGTTTCACCAAGAAAAAAAAATCTTATTTTGGAAACTTCGAAACAAAACAAAACAAAAATGCGGTATTCACTTCGGTTGTCATGACAATGTTGTTGTCGGTTTTTATTAGCAAAAAAAAAAAAAAAATCCCACACTATTTTCTATGCTTCTACCTTTCTCTTTTTCAAAACATTCATCATTCGAAAAGAATGTTTGAAAGAAAAAAAAAATTGATGATAGTGGTGGTGGTGTTGGTGATGCTACCACGACCACGACAACAACAATGATAATGATGATGATGATGATTATTACCACTCGTTGATCAATTGTTGCAGACCAAAATAACCAAACGAAAACATTGAATGAATCAATATCAAGGAAAAAATTCTGATCAAATCTGTCAAGCTTTTTTTTTTGTTTTGTTTTCAAAATTTTTGAATTAATTTTCCCGAAAGAAATGAGCTTTTTGTTGTAAGTTTTTTTTAAAAAAAATGTTTGATTCTTTTTGACTAAAATTTTGTTTTTTTAAAATCTCTAATCATTTCTAATTCTCTTGTGTAGCGGTAATCGATCGAACAAAACATTTAAACCGAAAAAAAACATTCCCGAAGGTACACATCAATATGATTTAATGAAACATGCTGCTGCAACATTAGGTTCAGGTGATTTACGTTTAGCTGTTATGTTACCTGAAGGTGAAGATCTTAATGAATGGGTTGCTGTTAATAGTAAGTTATTCTGAAAAAAGATGATTGAATTTCGATTCTATTAAATAATCTTTGTTTGCATTTTTTCAGTTGTCGATTTTTTCAATCAAATCAATATGCTTTATGGTACGATAACGGAATTTTGTACGGAAGAAACATGCCCGTTAATGTCAGCCGGACCAAAATATGAATATCATTGGGCCGATGGTACAACGGTAAAAAAACCAATAAAATGTTCAGCACCAAAATATATTGATTATCTAATGACATGGGTACAAGATCAATTGGATGATGAAAATATTTTTCCATCAAAAATAGGTAAAGAATTTCTTTTCTAAATTCTTTGAAATTTAATTTCTTTAATTTTAATTTACCAGGTGTACCATTTCCAAAAAATTTTATATCAATTGCCAAAACAATATTGAAACGTTTATTTCGTGTTTATGCACATATTTATCATCAACATTTTCAACAAATTGTTCGGTTGGATGAAGAAGCACATCTGAATACAAGTTTTAAACATTTTATATTTTTCGTACAAGAATTCAATCTAATTGATAAACGTGAATTAGCACCATTATCTGAATTGATTGAAAAATTGGTTGAAAAACGTAATCCAACAGCAACATCAACAACAACTGCTGCTTCTGCTACGTTGGATAATTCAAATACAAATCAATCTGGTATTGTTGCCGATATCAATGTTCAATCAATGTTGAATCATCATCATCAACAACAACAACAACAACAGCTGCCGCATCATCATTTACCGCATCCATTGCCGCATGGTCATCCGCATCATCATATTGGTAATCATCATTATAATTCTACCGGAATGAATAATAATAATGATAATAATAATATTCAACCACCATATACACCACCAAGAATTTCTGGATCATCATCATATCCAGCTGCTCCACCTCCACCTCCACCACCACATTATCCAATTAAACAATCATTACCACCACCGCTACCATTGCCAAAACCTATACAAGCGCAACAACAACAACAATATTATAATATTAAACAACAACAAACACCCCCACCCCCACCACCTGCTTATCATCAACATTTACAACAACAACGTAATTCAGGAAATATTGGTGGTGGTGGAATTATCCGGTGATTAATCAAAGTAAATATAGTGCCTTCTTCTGATATAAATTCTGTTTTGGATGTGATATATGATTTCTAATTATCTTTATTAGCAAAAAATTGATTGTAAAAAAAACTTAAATAAAAATTTATTATTGTAATCGATCACAAATCAATTTACCATCAACACTAACCATATCTGTTTGATAATTTTGTAAAATTATACGTATTCTTGATGGTTCAATTTGAAGATTATTATGAATATAATCGGTTAATGTTTTTACTGTTTTACGATTATCCATGAAATCCATTGATCCAATTGATCGTAAATAAACTAATGCAATTGGTTCCAAGCCATTTTCATTGTTAGTGATGGTTTTGTCGCCAATCGAAATCAATTGATCACTTGAAATATGTACAGCAATACTATCAGCCTTTTTATTACGTAATGTTGATGATAATAAACCGGCTAACATTGGACCAAAATTTTCCGGTATTCGGGTACGTGTTACGGTTGTAAATATATGTAGAAAAGGCATGTTAACAAACAGAAAATTTTCCAGACAAAAAAAAACAGTTTTACAAGGTCAAGTTAGTCGAGTCACTCAATGTTAAATAAAATGAAATGATTCAATCAAAATCATACCACCACTATATATATACAGTGTGATTATCAACAACAAATCAAAATATCAATATGATCACATCATCATTGCAATGGGATTTTTTTTTGTTTTAATAAAAAAAAAAACTTATTTTCAATATCAAATGGAATGAAATGAAATGTAAATATGTAAATGTGTGGATATGTATTTCAATAAGAAACAAACAAAAAAAAAATGATTAGAATATGGTGGAGATTGAGTCGATCACTCTGTATATTTGAGTAATTTTGTCCAGATCAATAATTCTCATTGATTGATTGATTTACGGAATTTGTAGAAAAAAAACTTCTTCATTGGCTTGGATCACGTGGTGAATAAGGTGGCGGTGGTGGATCATCATGATGATTATTTGTTGCCGTTGTTGTTGATTGAGATGATGGTTTTATTGGATGATTTGATGCAGAAGTTATTGTTGCTGGTGGTTGAAATAATTGTGGATGTAATATTGGATAATTTGGTTGAGGTGGTAATGGAAATGTATGATGTTCCGGTATAATATCATCATTTAATAAACTATTTTGTCGTCGTAATTGTCGTAATGGTCGTAAACCAATACGATTTGTTCCCGTTGTTAATGTAATTGTATATGGTTGATAACTAACATATGATGGTGGAAAAAATGTTTGTCCTAATGATCCATAATTATTTGCAGTTGGTTGAAATGCGTTTGGTGCGGTAGGTACCAAAACTGGCATCGAATCACCAGACAATTTAAAACGTCGAAATGCTGAATTTGATGAATTATTTGTTGCGGAATCAGGTAAATCAGCTTCCGATTGTATTGATTGTGAACGAATTCTTGATTGTTGATTTGTAAATGTTTCCGGTGCAACTGGTGTTGAATTTGTACGTATACGTAAATATGGATATTGTTTATGATGATGATTACGATAAGCAGGTGATATATATGCACCTGATTGTCGATTATGATGATTTTTACCCGTACGAAAACAACAACGATAACAAATGCAAAGAAAAATAATGAATGCTACCAATAATAATGTAGTACTGACAATCAAATAAGTGGTAATATTATCCATTGGACAATTTGTTTCATCACGACTATCACCACAATTATTATAACCATCACAAACATAATGATTCGATATACAACGAAATGAACCACAATCAAATTCTTCATCAATATCACATAAATCTGCTTCACGAAATGATGTTAAAATTAATTCAATTTCAACTTTTTCTTCTTTTGGTAAATAGGTACGGGTTGCAAATTCAATCAAAACACCATGATGTGCTACATAGGCAACTGAATCACGTTCACTATTGATACGTATGTGTGAAAATGTCCGAGTGAATGAACTATTATTAATCGATATCCTTAACCAATCAGTACCCGGTCGTACATGAAGTTTACGTAATGTTACAATTAAACCATTTGGTTTTTTAGGTATAACCAATATTGAACAACGAAGCCGTGCACGAAATACATTTTCCGGATTAACAATTAATCGTACAGCTGATGTATCATAACCAGTATCAACAATAACTGTTTTGCTTGCATAATTTGAATCAATTTTTAATGAATTGTTTAAATCATTAACAGTGGATGATGATTTCGATTCAACATTTGATGATGATGGTGGTGGTTCAATAACCATACCGGATGATATATCATCATCATTATCATCATCAAAATGTTTTTCATTATTATTCGAAAATTTAACATTCGAATCAAAACGTTGACAATAATCAATCAATTCAAATGTTTGATATGCATTAACATTACTGGATTGATGACATGATGAATTAAATGTTATAATCAATAATATTGACAATAAAATCATCTGTAATGAATGATTATTCATCATTTTGAAAAAAATGGTTTTTTTAGTGGCCTGGTGCGGAGAAACAGAATCCAAATAAATTATCATTGAATTTAGCTAATGGGAATACTCACTCGAAATTGATGAATGTGAAATTAGACAGATCAAAAGAAACACACAACAAAAATAAATATCAAAAACTGTAATTGGGAAATTCTGTGGGAAAAAAATACACCAAAAAGGTTTACATTTTTGAAACAAAAAAAACTTTTGCTGTTTTTGTTTCAACAAGTGTTGTTGCAATTTAAAACAACAACGTAGCTGATTTACGCAGATGGATTCAGCGAAAAAAAGATAAAAGAAAGAAAATCAATAACCAAAACAAAACCAAAAAAAAAAATTATAAAATTGTTATTTAAAAAAATTTTCTGCTGCAAAATAACAACTACGACGATGAACGATGATACCGAAAAAAAACTCAATCATCAAATAATATAAACACGTAGGTTTTTCAAATTTTTTATCACCAAATAAAAAAAATCCAAATTTCAAAAATGATAAAAAAAATCAAATCAAATCAATTCGACGATAGCGATGGACAAATAAACATCGATATATCGATTACTTTGTTGCTCTCACACACACAAACACACACACACTCTTTTTCTTATCTCTCGTTTACAATCAAGTTTGTTGATAAACTTTTCTTTTTCCAAAGATTTTTTTTTTGCTGATTGATAATCACTTTCAAACCATTTTTTTTTCTCTGATATGGTAACTTTCTGAAATTGGTAATGGTACACACGGTCATCAATGTTTTTTTTCCAAGTTTCGAAGTTTTGCTAATCCCGGTAGTTGATGATGACAATCATCATGTAACAACAAAAACAACAAAATTTTGATTCAAACACACGACCCATCCAACCAAAAAAAGAAAATCGATTCATTCATTAATCGAATCGATCAATCAATCAATATTTGTTCAATTTGTTTATTCAAAATATTTGATTTGATTCGAATGAAAGTGATTTCACAGTGAAACACACTTTATTTCAATTTTTATTGAAGTGAAGTGGAAAAAAAATATTAAGGCAATCCTCTTTCCAATCTCTCTACTGATGACATCCATCCATCCAAAATGACTGGCCGCATCCATTAATTTGACAAAAACAAATGAAAAAAATGAAAATTAGTTACAAAATGATTGATAAATTAATAGTGTATATATTTTATTTTGGACATTTTATTATCATGTGATTAACCATCGATGTTTGTGTTTACACACATTACTTTTGTTGATGATTGGTTATTGATTATTGATCAATGATTATGAAATGATTGAAGATCACGTTTCAAACGAAGACCAAGTGTTTGTGCATCAATATGCCATTGTTGTATTTGTTCCAAAAAATGATCTAAATTTTTATTCATTTCATATTCTTCTTGTATTAGATTTAATTGATCTTTTATAATATGAATATGACGATGAAGTTCAGCAAATTGTTGTTTACCACCATCACCATTACCATTATCAGTTTGTTTTGCTTGATTCAATAATAATTCAATTTCATTTAATGATAATTTTACACGTTCGATATCGGTATCGATAGTCGATATCGATGTTGTTGCTGTTGTTTCCGAATTCGATTGTTTTTGTTGTTCATCACTGCTATCCAATGTTAATATTAATGTTGATTGAAGAATTATTATCATCATCATCATCAATGGTAACAAGAATCGATAATTTTGTTTCATGATCATCATTATTATTTGGTGGAATTGAAAAACAGCAAAAAATCAGTCAAAATGAAATGATGATGGTGATGATGTTGGTATCGTTTATTTATATGGTCAATCATTTTTTTATGGTGGTGGTGGTCAGTTTGGTCAGCCAGGAGAAAAAAAAATCCGGAAAATCGAATGCAGGATGGAAATTTTTTCCTGCTAAACAAAAATTTGCAAAAAAAATATGATGCTGGTATCCGTCCAGAGCGAGAGAGAGAGAGAGAGAGAGAGAGAGAGAGAGAGATCATTGGATCCATTGATTAGTGATCAGTGATCGATAATTGATCAATAAAGAAGAATATTTAATAAAAATGTTAAACGTAAACCATATTGATTATTAAATTGTTCCAATGTTTCGGATATATTTATTAATAATGTATTGGCTAATACTTCTAAACAACATAATAAAATAAATGTAAATGTTAAAAATAAATGTATTAAAAGGAGAAGAAAATTCATTTTTGCTTGTTGTTTGTTTGTTAGAGATTTTTTAAAAATGATTCACAGCGAAATGTTTGATATGATAAACGAAAAGGTTGTGATGGTCAACGTGTGTGATGGTCAAGGGTTAACTTTTTTTTTTCTTTTATTTTATGGTCGTTGGAAACTCGCACACACTGTGTGTGTTTTAATGATAATTTGATTACGAATGTAAATAACTAACTATAGCAAAAAATATTTGTCGTTTTTTTTCTGGCGACCATGATGATTGATTTTTCATTATTGCTGGCTGTATTGGAAAACAAAAACAAGAAAATCATTAGCTGATGGCTGTGTACCGGATATAAACACACACACACACACACACACACACAAAGATATACAACGCACGTAAACACACAGATACACATGTAATCCATATGATGATGGTGGATTAGCATTACCTGTGTGTGTGTTAATAGTGGTGGTGGTGGTCATATTTTGTTGACTGCCATTTGCCTTGTCTGTCTGTCTGACTGTGTAATGGATATTTTTCCAAAGAAAATGACCAAGGCCGGTTGCTTTTTTTGTTTTTTGTTTTTTTTTCGTAAGAAAAAAAACTTTTCCATACGAACATACGAACAACATTGATTTTTGTTTTTTGTTTGCTATAAAAAAAAAATTGTGAAATTTTATTTTCTGTTTTTAGTTTTTCATTTGAAACAAAAAAAAAAGCTAATCAAAAATATCTTTTTTTTTCTATTTGCAAATTCCAAATGAAATTGGATAATGACATTGATTTTTCTGTTTGAAACACTGGCTAATTAAGATGCAAAGAAAAGACACACAGAGAGAGAGAGAGAGTGAGAGATACGAAGATCACGCATGTTGATTAGATAGAAATTGATGCGGCTATATTTGCTAAAATGTGAGAAAAAGTAAAGGATGTTTTCCTTGTTTTTCATTCCATAAAATAACCATAAATTCTTAATGATTCTAATGGCCAATTATCATTGTTGTTTTTGGTTGTTTTGGTTGTTCCATTGGATGCGGATAATGTTATAAAACGTCCACTCAATCCACATGGCTATAATAAGGAAAAACCGAAATTGAAAAAAAACCTGAATAATTTCATAGATTTTTTTTTATGTAATTAAATTACCTGACAACGAATCCATTTACGATTTGTAGTTGAAGTGGATTTTTTCCCCAATGATTGATAATCTAGGGTTGTCAATGATGATCCATAATCATAACGATAACATAAATTTCCATTATCATCCACAACATTCGTAACATCCGCATTCGAATCATCCTTTTTTTTGTTGCCAGTGGATTTTCCATCATTACGTTTCAATGGTTCATTTTTGTGAACACGAATTTCAAACGGAATTAGCGATGATGATGAACGTTTTGTTTGTTGAAAACTAAAACCAGTCATATAGATTGATTTTTTAAATTCATATTGAATGTTTGATTCAGATACGGTACGTTTTGCTTTTTTGGTCATATCGACTAAGGGAGAGGAAGGATGAAGAAACCAGCGGGTTAAATAAAATTAAGATCATTTTGGAGGTGGGAAGGGGGAGGAGCTAAAAAACATTCAATACATACTTCGATTATGATTACGTCCATCCAAATAATCACGTGTAAAATAAAGAAAATTTGTTTGATTATTTTCATCAAATTTTGGTTGTAAATCATTTCGACCTAAAAATCTACATTGTCCATTTTGTTTATTGATTCTATTTTGTTGATAATCGAATCAATCAGACAATCAATAAATTCAATTTCTTTCTGCAATACTTACTCAATACAATGACAATCTGGTTGTTCGAAACAATCAATCGAACATGATACTATTGATCCTTTTGGTGGATGTTGCCCGGTACGACGATCAAATTCTAATTGACCAAAATTTTTTGACATAAATTGTTCATTAATATCATATTTTTTATTATGGATTAACCATCCTTGTGGTTTTCGATCTTGACCGTCGGAATCCTTAAATTTCAAAAAAAATAATGGATAACAGACGATTATTGATTACTGAAAGATTACCTCATCTGTTGATCGACAATCAATAAATCGATTTGATTGAAATAATATCAATGTGAAAATAGTCAATAATTTCATCGACATTTTTGTCGAAATAGCCATCATGGTGATTTTAACTGGCAACTTCGTGATAGAATCGTAAAAATGAAATGTCAATTCGTTTTCGGGGTGTTTGACGGATTCCTGGATTCTTTGTTTGATTTTGTTTTCATTGTTTCATTGTTTCTATGGTCTTTAAACAACGAAAAACCAGATTCTGTCCGACCAGATTCAAATGAATAATTTATTTGAATGTTCAACCAGAGAAAACAAAATCCATTTTTTTTTTTTTTGGTGTAATGAAAAATCTCATTTACATTCTGATCGCATACCTTTGATGATGATCAGGATCAGGATCATGATCAATTTGTTAATTGAGGTAGTGATTTTTTTCTCTGGTTTTCCAAAAATAAATAAAAAGACCAAGATAATAATGGCGCCTAAAGTGTTAAAGAAATTCAAATTTTTTAAAAAAAGTGAAAAGCGCCATCTAGTGAGCGAAGATGACATTTATTTTGAGAATTTTTTTTCAAAAAAAAAAAAAAAAAAAAAAAAAATAAAATATGATCCGTTGCTCGATGATGATTATGATCAACCATCGAGCCGCACAGATTAAACATGTGACATATTATGCATTACGTCACATATGTCACAAGACAAGAGAGAGGTAAACAAAAGTGGGAGGAGAGATGAAGAGGTTATTGTCATCATTCGGATGAAATGGCAAAAATGGATGGGGAGGATGCATGGCCCTGTTAATGGCTTCTGCTCGAACATAATCAAACCGAAAATAATCCTTCACCACCCCCATCATCGTTAAACGCAGTGTTTGGAAAAAGATAGACACCGCCAGCTGCTGCTGCTATTGATGCTTAATGGTGGCAGAGATCAAATAAAAAAAGAAAGTTTTGAATAAGCGCCAAAGAAAAAATTGTCACACACAACATGTGTCATTCATATTTTCCTAAAATAAAATTTTTTTTTTAAACAAAATAATAACGGTCGCTGGGGTTGATGTTTTCATTTTCATCAGTTTCTTCTTGTTGCATCACTGCAGTGTGTTTATAAACATTTCATTTTCGTTTTCGTTTTTGGCATCCGAAAAAACATAAAAAACCAATGCAGAGCAAAAATCTGTTTCTGTTACTCTGCATGTATAATACGAGTGTGTATTGCATATGCAACATTTTTGATTTTTGCGATTTTTTTTTTTTTTTTTTGGTGATCCTCTCTGATATTTTTCTGGTTTGTCATCATTATTATCATCAAAAAAGCTAAAAAGTGTTTGTTTTGAATGAGCGCATCAATTTAGTGAGGGAGAGAGAGAGAGAATCAAAGAATTTCTTCCATTTAGTTTTCAAGTTGTGTAATTTTTGTTTGTTTGTAAAAATGATCATCGATCATTTGCTCATATTTGGCTGACTGTGTGACCAATTCAATGAAAAAAGAAAAAATTTGTTACGAATGAAAATTTCGTTTTTGTTTAAAACAAACAAACAAACAGCAACACGGAGAAACGATACATAACCTTTTCGGTTCGATTTACATAAAAAAATCAATTTTTTTTTGAAAATTTCGATTCGCCTTGGTTATGCTGCTGCTGATTGTTTCAAGTTTGTTTTCATTTTTTTACGTGTTACAGGCTGAATACAGACGCCCAATACGATACGATCCAATGGTCATAGTTTTCTCTCGTTATCTCTCAGGTAAATATTACCTGTCTGTGTGTGAAATGTGATCATGAATTTCGTGTTTTTTTTCACCAAAAATAAAACAAAAACCACATTTTTTGAATCCAGGTCCATTTTTTTCGTTAGTTTCAAATTGACAACAAAATCATTCATATTTGTCATTTGTTTGTTTGTTTAATGCTTTCGTTTTTTTCTGGATTTCATCAATGACAAATGAGAAAAAAATTGGCCATTTCCTATCAACATTTATCACATTCAATTTTAATATAGTGAAAATGAAATGATATTGAATGTCAGAAATGTTTTTTTTGGATTTTTTTGTTTGTTTGAAACCGAAAAAAATGGATTCATTCTGAAACATTCTGAATCCATCATGGTGCGATTGATCTGATATCAATCAATCAATCAATCAATCATATTTTCGTGGTCAGTTTTGATTGATTAAACATCTTGATTGTCTTTTTTGATTTCAATTCTTCAATGATTATCCCTTTTGCAATTTGTGAAAAAAAAGAGTTGAAAAAAGAAACGACAATTTTTTAAACGATCATCTTTGTTATTATAATGATAATGATGATTATAATGTTAATCTTTACTTTTACTTACTCTGCCCATTTTGAATTGCCCTCTAGCCATCCGTTCAATAAAAAATCCATGATTGGATATTATCGTTATCAACAAAAAAACGAAACGAAACCGGACGATCACATCAATTTTGCTTCTGAACATCGTTAAACATCAATGACAACAACCGAAAAATCTTATCTAATTTTAAGCCATCTTTGTGTGTGTGTGTCTTTGATTTGTGACCAAAAAGTCAATTTATCATCCGGTGTTTTTTTATTTTTTTTTCAACATTCATTTTACTTTCACTTTCTGTTTGTTAGTTTATGTGATGCACACACATACATACCATTCACCTTGACCTTGAATGAAATGAATGAACCGTCCCTTTTTTTCGGTTGTTGTTGTTGTTATTTGGTGGATTGATTTAAATCAAAATCAAAAAAAAAAAAAAATATATAGAGGTTTTAAAACTGACTTACCCAAACCGAACCAAAAACAAAACAAAAAACAATCGAACAAAACCACCGAACATATGAAAAAAAAGTGAATCTTGTTGTTCGTTATTCGTTTGTTACATGAATGAATTGAAAAAATATCGATCAAATGTCTTTGTTAAGCAAAAAACATCGATAAAAACCTAAACAAAAAGAAGCTTCTTGATATTTTCAGAGAGGCAAATCATCATTGCAAACGAGGAAAACTTCGTAACAAAAAAAACTAACCATTATCATTATCACCATCATCATCATCATCCACTTCTGGAATTCTGGAATCCAACAATAACAGCGAAAACCATAATCTGGCTCAATCAGTTGATCAATATGAACTGGGCCTGGAATTCATTCGAATGTCTTTTATTATCATTATTATTATGGCTCCAGATTAGTTTGCCTAGTCAATCGATATCGATTGATAATAATCGATCATCATATCAATCATCGGATAATGTTCACAACAACAAAACATCAAATCGTGAACGTCGTTTTCTTTTTTCACAGCCATCATCATCTTCTTCGTCGTCATCGTCTTCATCATCATCATCTAGTCAAATAAATGGAATTATTGATGAAACAAAATTACCAATGTTATATATTGGTGAAGTTGATCTCACCAATCATTTTGATTGTAATCGTTGGTTAGAACCAAATCTTTTTCAATGTCAACATCATTATGAAAATCATATTCGTCATCAGATTTCGAAACGTTATGAATCATTTCGTCAAAATCAATTATCAAATTCATATTATTATCCTAATCATAATCAGAATCATAATAAAAATGAATTAAAATTTAAAATTAGTCGTAATGATGAATATATTAAACAAGCATCATGTTGTGGTATGTGGCATGCACGTGATTGTGTTATTAATCATATTATTATTGAAACAAAATTACCTGATGATTGTCCAACCGATTTAATTGATCGATATCGACGATTACCAATTGAACCATTAGTTCGTGAATCTGTTTTTGATTATTGTTCTGAATATGGTGATGGTTCATCAATTTGTAAACAAATTTCATCCTCATCATCATCATTGTATTTTACATATTTTAATCAAATTATATATTCATTGATTATATCTATTATTATCATTCGAATATATTAATGATAATCATTATTTTGTAATTGTAAAATAAATTTTTAAAAAGAAAAAATTTCTACTTACTTTTTTTTATAAAATCAGTTCGAATTTGTAAATTCGAATTTTTTCTTTTGTTCGATTCGTTTAATTCGATTTGCGCATGTCATATATGGTTTGTGGCTATTTTCGTTTTTTAGCTAAATTCGCTTTTTGGCTATTTTTTGTTGTTGAAGAATTTATTCGAATTTGGCTATAGCAACATGAATAGCTCAACATGTTCGAAATAGAATAACGATGAAGCCAAACAAAAACAAAAGAAAAATCTTCGAAAATAATTCGATCATCATTGAATTCATCATTTTTATCATTTGGGTCGATGTAAATTGATTTGGATACTTGATTTTTTCCAACAACAACAAACAAACAAACAAAAAAATGACACGTCGAGCTTTACATTATGTGCTCAAGATTGGTGATCGTAACAAAAATATTAAATTTTTTCGCGATTTACTTGGCATGAAGGTTAGTTGATTGATTGATTGATTATTGAATTGTTTTATATTTTGTTTTTATTAAAGGTACTTCGTCATGAAGAATTTCATGAAATGTGTCAAGCACAATGTAATGGACCATATGATGGTAAATGGAGTAAAACAATGATCGGTTATGGACCGGAAAATGAAAATTTTGTATTAGAATTAACATATAATTATGGTATTGGTAATTATAAATTGGGTAATGATCTATTATCGATACGTATTGAATCCAAATTAGCATATGAAAATATTAGCAAACAAAAAGATGTATTTTTTATGCATAAAAACCCGGAATGTATTGTTCTTAATTCACCGGATGGTTATTTGTTCGAAGTATTCAAATCGGATCATCCACTTGATCAACCATCATTGATTACCAAAGTATCATTATCGACAACCAATGTTGATAGATCAAAAAATTATTGGCATAATCTTTTGGGTATGAATTTGCATGAAGGAAATGATAAACATTTTATCGGATCATTTGGTGAACATGATGCACGTTTGGAAATGGTATTGATAGCCGGTAATCAACCGATACGTCATGAAAAAGCATATGGAAGAATTGCATTTGCATGTCCAGAATCCGAATTATCACAAATACAGGAACGTATGTTGGCGAATAAGCAAACCATTCTTACAAAATTGGTTAGTCTTGATACACCGGGGAAAGCTACTGTACAGGTTGTAATTCTGGCAGATCCTGATGGTCATGAAATTTGTTTTGTTGGCGACGAAGGTTTCTCAAAATTATCACAAATGGATCCGAATGCCAATGATTTATTGAAACAGGCAATGGAAAAGGATAAAAGTAATGAATGGTATGCTAAAAGTGGAGCTGGTAAACAAAAATGTGAATGAAAATTCGACTTTATTAGTTTGATTTGATGATGATGTTATTGAATAAAATTTGAAATGACCAACGTAGCATTCGTACCACCAAAACCAAATGAATTGGTCAATGCTATTCGTTGTTGTTGGTCATTATTCCATTGATAAGTTTGATTTGCAGCTATTTTTACTTCATTATCAATAGGATTATCTAGGTTAAGTGTTGGTGGAATTTGTCCATGATAACAGGAAAGTAAAGTGAAAATAGTTTCCGCAGCACCGGCTGCACCAAGTAAATGACCAGTTGATCCTTTGGTCGATGTTATCGTTAACGATGACAGTGATGATTTAAATAATTGTTTGATAGCCATCAGTTCAATTTGATCACCAAGTGGTGTAGATGTTGCATGACAATTAATATGGCCAATATTTTCGGGTTCAATATTAGCATTTTTTAACGCATTTAACATTGAATAACGTGCACCACGACCATCTTCACTTGGTGCTGTTATATGATGTGCATCAGCCGAAAGGCCATAACCTTGAATTTCACCGAAAATCGTTGCTTGACGATCAAGGGCATGTTGCAATTCTTCGAGCATTACAATAGCAGCTGATTCACCCATAACAAAACCACAACGATCTTGATCGAATGGTCGCGATGCTCGATCCGGTTGATCATTATAACGGGTACATAATGCACGAATACGACAAAATGATGCTATCGACAGTGGATGAATAGGTGATTCAACACCACCAGCCAACATTATATCAGCATGATTTAATCGAATAAAATTTGTTGCATCACCAATTGAATGTGCACCTGTTGTACATGCAGTTGATACTGAATGATTAGGGCCACAAAATCCATATTTCATACTAACATAACCGGCAGGCATATTTAATAGAATTTTTGTTATAAAATGTGGACTAACCCGATTATAACCATTCTTTCGTAAACGATCACCAGCATTGATAACATCTTCAAAATCGACCATACCACTACCGATTGCAACACCACATCTTTGTGATTCTTGATCGTTTTTTGGTCCAGACCAACCTGATGATTGTAATGCTTCATGTACAGCCAGCAATGTATACAGGCTTGATCGAGAATATGTTCGAATTTGATTCGGTGTAAATGTTTCGGATAAACATTCATCAATATTTGGTATATAACCAGCAATCTGACATGGTATATCATTCGATAATGGATATGCATCAAATTTTTCAATTTTTCGTATACCAGATTTACCTGATAATAAATTTGTCCATGATTGTTGTACACCGATACCTAATGGTGAAATTAGACCAATACCAGTAACAACAACACGACGATAATATCGTCGAATATTATCGGTGGATAAAAAAATTCGGTTAATTCGAATCGAATGAATCGATGATAAACGAAACATGGTGATGAACGAATTCCAAAAAAAAAAAAAAAACAACCAACGCCATCTACTATCGATAGTCATCATCGGTTTTTTTTAAACATTCGAAAAAAAAACATTCGAATTTTGTGTGAAGGCCAAATATTTTTTTTTTCCTTCCGAACATTTCAATGTGACAAATTATGTTTCTTCGGTGGGAAGAAAAAAAGTAAAAATTGCTAATTACTTTTGCTATTTGTAATCTAATTTTATCTTTCTTTCTTTTTTTCTCAGCTAGTGAAAGTGAAAGCGAATATTTTCAACAAACCAACAAAAAAAATAATTCATCATTTAACCCTTGATGTCTAATAATGATATTCTTCAATTCTGTTCGGTTCTTCAGTTCAGTTGTGGAATCCATAATAAATTAAATTGACCTTCATATTCTTCAATTTGCTGCCGCCATTCGTTGTTTAGAATGGTTTATTCTTCATCATCATTTTTCATTTTTCTTCAAGATGCTATTTTTATAATCATCATCATCATCATCATCATTATGATTATTATGATTATTATTATGATGATGATTGTTTTTAATAATAATCATCATCATAATCAAAGCATTCACAAGAGAAAAGAATAGCAGGATTAAGAACGAAAAATGTTTTTTTATGGTGATGATTGTATTCGAAGAATTCAAAGAATCGTGATTCTTTTTTTGTGCAAAAGTTTTGTGTATTGTTTGCCAAAATTATCATCATCACCGAACCAGACCAAACGACTGAACGAAACGAATTGAAATTAAAACAAAAAAAAATTGATAGAATTTTTTTTGTTTTTTAATCGTAATGGATGATAATTAATGTAGCAAAACGGTAACAATTGAAAATATCTTATTCAATGTTTTGGCTTGCCTGATGATAATAAATGGAGACAACAATAATATCAGGAATTTATCATTTTCATCATCATCATCATTATCATCCATGATTTTGACCTTCAAAACAAAAAATATTGTCATTCGTCGACAGAAAGAAATTGAGAAACTGAGAACGAAAAAAAAGACAATGTAAAATGATTATGAAAATGTTGCCAATAAAATGAATCGATTGTGCAATTATTTTGGCCACGGCAGCATCCAGCCAGCCAAAATTCAAGGTGTGTATGTTTTGCTCTGTTCTATCGCTTGATGCTAAGTTTGTATTTTTTTTTTTCGTTTTTTTTTGAATGTTGAGGGTGACATTCAAAAAACAAAAAAAAATTTCCTTCTTTCTCAATGATATGATTAACACTTTTTTGGTTTTGTTTTTTTTTTGGATGTCAAACCCAAAACAGAATATAATGGAATTAAGGACATGATCAAAAAAACGAAAAATTCTGGTTTCCCAATTCTATTCTGTTCTGCTGCGGGTAAGAAGAAAAGAAAAGAAGATAATTAAAACTTTCCATTTCATCATTTTCATTCGTTTTGCTAGTTGGCTTTGATGTGAACATTGAAATTCTTGATGATGATGATGTTGATGATGAAGTGTGATGATGATGATTTCTATTATTATCATCATCAAACAACATCATTGCGGATGGATTTTGATGAACATTTTTCTCCATTCTTTCCTTGTTCGGTTGCGATCCAAACGCACACACACACCACACACACACGATATATTAGTGAAATGAATGCCAACATTTTTTTTTGTTCGCAAAGCGAGAGAGAGAGAGAGAGAGAGAGAGAATAAGGAATTCATTTAGTCTGTTTGAATAATGATGGACTGCCATCAGTGTATGATGATGATGATGTTCACGCTATAACATCAAAGAATTTTTTTTCCATCATCAAAACATATAGAGTCGATTCTTTTTAGTAAGTTGTGATGGGGATGTGAATGAATACCATTATCATCATCAGTATCATCATATACAGAGCAGAACCTAAATATAAAAAAAAAGTTTCTATTTCGACATTTTCGTCTTTTTCTTTTTCTTTTCTATATTCGAATATCAGAATATTCGAATGTTTTTTTTTATTCGGTATAATATCATTGTCGTTATCATGATAGTGGTGTTCGTGATATGACAGTTAAGCTTTGAATTTTTTTTTTGGCGACAAAATTTTTCATCTACCACTCTCATCAACGACGACGATCATCATCTAAGACATTGTGTGTTCAAAGTTATCGTTGATGCTTGATGGATGTTTGTTTGTTTGTTTGTTTCTGGTTGTGTGTGTTTGATGGTGTAGAAAATAAATCCAGTCTATGTTTGAATGTTTGAATCGATCGGATGATTTTTGTGTGTTCAACAGCAAAGTTATCTTTTTTCTTTTCTTGGTTTTCTTTCTTCGAAAGCGACATCATTGATGATGATCCATCATCTTTGATTGATTGATTGATTTGATTGGATTCGATTCGATTCATCAAAACAAAAAAAAACAAAACATTCGAATTCGACATATTTTCACCCAAATAGACCCGGTGCTGTGCAACAAGTGGTCTGAGATCGATACAATCGATCCAGAATCGAACAAAAAAAACATCGATAGTGGTACGTCATTTGTGTGTGTGTGTTCCGACAAAAAAAACCGGAAATCTTCACTTTACTTACGAACAACCAGAATAATAGAATCTGGGGAAAAAAATCTCTTCAGTTTTAAAGGTAAGCAAAGAATTTTATTTTTTTCCATTTCATTTTGGCTTCCAAAAAAAACCGACTGACAATATCGATTGATTAATTGATTTTTTTGTTCGATATGTTCGATGTTTTTGTTACCAAACTCGTGATCGATGGTACTGATCGCCCACACACACACACACACACTGGTTGATTTGATTTGGTTGTGGAGAGAAAAACGAGCAAAAAAAAAAACAATGATTTTTTAGCCAAAAAAACAAACAACCAGATTCTCAATCAACCATATTCTGTCGTTTGAATTTTTCGTTTTGAAGGCCACCTTCATTCATTCATTCATTCACTGATTTGATTTGTCATTTTTTTTCTTTTAACAAAAAATTTCTGGTGTAGTTATCATTGATCGCATTTTTTTTGGCTTGCCAACATTCAATGCGATATATGCGATATACGATAGCAGCCAAAAACTGCTATAATGATAACGATGATGACGCAAATATAAAAACTTAGCGTCATCATCATCGTTATCATTATCAGCATTTATGGCATTGATCTTAACGTTGTTTGAATGACCCTCATTGATTGATTGATCGATCATTACGTTCATTTTTCAATCGATAATCAATCAATCAAATTGATGAAATAGATGAATTTCGAATGTTTCGACCAAGACTGGATTCTTTCAACTCAAAAAGACAAAAACAAAACAAAAACAAAACTTTAAAGATCCAGAGAATCTTCATTGAAAACATTTTTACTTTTCGAATCACTAGATGGCAGATCATCATCCATCATTATGATCCATAAGGTAAATGCACTGAAATGGAATAATAATGTTTCACCACCATAGACGCCGTCATCATTATTATCACCGGTTTCAATATTCCAATATTCGATGCGCCTATGCTACTACTACCACCACCATTACAATTATCATCACATTGGATATTTTTTTTTCAGCCGAAATTTTTTCGTTGTTTGTTAAGACATACGTGTTGTTAACTAAAACACTTTAATAGACACACAGAAACACAACACGCATTTTAGTCTTTTTTTTTCTTTTAGTCGCTGGATAAATAGTGATTATTTTATTTTGTTTTTTAACTGTTGTTTTTTTCCATGTCCATCCACACCATCCATTCATCATCATCATCACATCGGTTTTTTTTTTGATTTATCCAAGGATTCTTTAGAACATCGAACAATCGTCATCGATCGAATCGATTGAATGAATCGTCAGTTTTTTCTGCTTTTTTGTTCAGTTCTTGCTCTGTTTTGAATTGCCATTGAGAATTTTTGCCAATTTGAATTGAATGTGAAGAACACAGAACACAAAGGAAAAACTAAATCAAAATCAAAATTTTCTTCTTTCTTCGAGCATTTCATCGAACCAAGACTGTTTTTTATCCGTGGTGGTCGGAAATTTTCTGTTGGTTTTTTTTTTGTTCGAACCATATCGAACCCCTCTTGCATTCGATTTTTTTCGGTTCAAAACCGATGATTAATATATTAATTATTGGTTATCTTTTTTGATTTGTTGTTGTTGTTGAATATTTTCCATCATCAACACACCAGACAAATATCAAATTACTGTCCGCAAAAAAAAGAAAAAAGAAAAGAAATATCAATATGCAATCATCATTTGAATGATAATGATAATCGTATTTAAATCATCATCATTTTGATTTGATAACAACAACGACGAAAATGGCAAAAAATGATTTAATATAATTAATGCGACCGAATTTTTTTTTCTAAATGATTATTATTGAATCGCACTGAAATCATTCTGAAAATTTCTGGAAAAAACGAAGAGAAACGCATTCAATTCCATCATTTTTCCTGGTTCGATCATTCAATTCGTTCCACACATTGTTTTCATTCCACTCATTCATCAATTCATCCATTCATTAACCATTCATCAATTTCAATATCATCATCGATTCTTTATAAGGGCAATCGATCGATTGATCGATCAGCTATTGATTATTATTCTTAAAATCTGTATTTTTTCAATTGTTTTTAAAAGAAATTATTATTATTTTTTTTTGTAAAATTTCAACCAATTTCAACCAGTTTTATAAAAACCGGGATAAATCTTTTTGTAAATTTAATTTTACAATTTTCGAATTATTTTCATTTTATTAATTTTCTTTTTCTTTTTTTTCTCTTTCCCTTTTTATAATTTAGGTAAACAAAAAAAAACGAAAAATTCACTGCGATATTGTCATATTCTTTCATTCATTCATTCATTTTTTCTTTTGATTCGAATCAATCTATAGATCTAGGAATAATATTTGTAAATTATATTTAATCAATTATGGAATTGTCTCATACAAAAACATCACAAGAGGTACTTGATTATTTCGGTACCGATAGAGAACGTGGCCTTTCACTTTCACAAGTGAAAGAATATCAAGAAAAATATGGCCCTAATGGTATGTTTTTTGTTTTTGTTTTTTGTTTTTTGGTTGATTGGTTGATTAATCCTTTGTTTTTCCAAAAAATTTCCAAATTAATAACAACACAGAACTACCGGCTGAAGAAGGAAAATCCATTTGGCAGCTTGTATTGGAACAATTTGATGATTTATTGGTGAAAATATTGTTACTTGCAGCAATTATTTCATTTATATTAGCATTTTTTGAAGAAGATGAAGATACGATAACGGCATTTGTTGAACCATTTGTTATATTATTAATTTTGATTGCAAATGCTGTTGTTGGTGTTTGGCAAGAACGTAATGCTGAAGATGCAATTGAAGCATTAAAAGAATATGAACCTGAAATGGGTAAAGTTATTCGTTCGGATAAACAAGGTGTACAAAAAATTCGAGCCAAAGAAATTGTACCAGGTGATCTAGTAGAAATTTCTGTTGGTGATAAAGTACCTGCTGATATTCGTTTGATTAAAATCTTTTCAACAACATTACGTGTTGATCAATCTATATTGACCGGTGAATCTGTTTCGGTTATTAAACATACTGATATGATACCGGATCCACGTGCTGTTAATCAGGATAAGAAAAATATCTGTTTTTCTGGTACAAATATTGCTGCTGGTAAAGCATTAGGTATTGTTATTGCTACCGGTTTGGATACAGCTATTGGTAAAATTCGTACCGAAATGGCCGAAACAGAAGAAGTAAAAACACCATTACAACAAAAATTAGATGAATTTGGTGAACAATTATCAAAAGTTATTTCGGTTATTTGTGTTGCTGTTTGGGCAATCAATATTGGTCATTTTAATGATCCAGCACATGGTGGTTCATGGATTAAAGGTGCAATTTATTATTTTAAAATTGCTGTTGCATTAGCTGTTGCTGCTATACCGGAAGGTTTACCTGCTGTTATTACAACTTGTTTAGCATTGGGTACACGTCGTATGGCTAAAAAAAATGCTATCGTTCGTTCATTACCATCAGTTGAAACACTTGGTTGTACATCGGTTATTTGTTCAGATAAAACTGGTACATTAACAACAAATCAAATGTCTGTTTCAAGATTTTTCCTAATTAAAAATGCTGATGGTAATAATCCAGAATTGGATGAATTTGAAGTAACTGGTTCAACATATGAACCAATTGGTGAAGTATTTCAACGTGGACAACGTATTAAATGTTCAGATTTTGAAGCAATGTTTGAAATGGCAACCATTTGTGTAATGTGTAATGATTCAAGTGTTGATTTTAATGAATATAAACAACAATTTGAAAAAGTTGGTGAAGCAACCGAAACAGCATTAGTTGTTTTAGCTGAAAAAATGAATCCATGGGAATTTGAAAAACGTGGCCTTTCACGTCGTGATGCAGCATTAGTTGTTAATCATAATGTTAAACGTATGTGGAATAAAGAATATACATTGGAATTTTCACGTGATCGTAAATCAATGAGCTCATATTGCATTCCAAAAGCTAATACAAAATTGGGTAATGATCCGAAAATGTTTGTAAAAGGTGCACCTGAAGGTATATTAGATCGTTGTACACATGTACGAATTGGTGATCGTAAAGTACCAATGACAGCATCAATAAAGAATAAAATTCTTGATACAACACGAACATATGGTACTGGTCGTGATACATTACGTTGCCTTGGTCTTGCCACTATTGATCATCCACCTAAACCAGAAATGATGGATTTAGCTGATTCATCCAAATTTGCCCAATATGAACAACAAATGACATTAGTTGGTGTTGTTGGTATGTTAGATCCACCACGTCATGAAGTATTGGATGCTATTCAACAATGTCGATTAGCCGGTATTCGTGTTATTGTTATAACTGGTGATAATAAAGCTACAGCTGAAGCTATTTGTCGTCGTATTGGTGTATTTACTGAAGATGAAGATACTACTGGTAAATCATATTCCGGTCGAGAATTTGATGATCTTTCTGTTAGCGAACAACGTGCTGCTTGTCGTCGTGCACGTTTATTTTCCCGAGTAGAACCAGCACATAAAAGTAAAATTGTTGAATATTTACAAGCTGATGGTGAAATTTCTGCTATGACTGGTGATGGTGTTAATGATGCACCTGCATTGAAAAAAGCTGAAATCGGTATTGCTATGGGTTCGGGTACGGCTGTTGCTAAATCAGCAGCCGAAATGGTATTGGCTGATGATAATTTTTCATCAATCGTATCGGCTGTTGAAGAAGGTCGTGCTATCTATAATAATATGAAACAATTTATTCGTTACCTCATTTCATCGAACATCGGTGAAGTTGTCAGGTTGGTTGATTGATTGAAATGTTTTTTTCAGTTTTATTGATTATTTTTTTTTGTATTAGTATTTTCTTGACTGCTGCTCTTGGCCTTCCTGAAGCATTGATTCCTGTACAATTATTATGGGTTAATTTAGTTACGGATGGTTTACCTGCAACTGCATTAGGTTTTAATCCACCTGATTTAGATATTATGGAACGACCACCACGTAAAGCAAATGAATCATTAATTACCGGATGGTTATTTTTCCGTTATATGGCTGTTGGTTGTATGTATCTCATTTTTTGTAACTGTTTTGTTATCAACATTACACTCTTATTTCTAAATTGAATATTATAGCATATGTTGGTTTTGCAACGGTCGGTGCCGCTGCATGGTGGTATATGGTTGCACCGGATGGTCCACATCTAACCTATTATCAATTATCACATCATCTTCAATGTATTACTGATCCGGATAATTTCCGTGGTGTTGATTGTAATATTTTCCATGATCCACATCCAATGACAATGGCATTATCAGTATTGGTCACCATTGAAATGTTTAATGCTCTTAATAGGTTTATTTGTTTTTTTTTTAAATTTATGGTTTGGATTTTCTTATATGATTTTTGTTTTGTATTTAGTTTGTCTGAAAATCAATCATTGTTCGCTATGCCACCATGGACAAATGTATGGCTTATTGCTGCAATTACTTTATCGATGACATTACACTTTGTTGTTTTGTATGTAGACATTCTTTCGGTAAGTCATGTGATGTGATAAAAATGTGTAGATGAATTTTAATTTTCTTTTTTGTTTTCAAAGGTTGTCTTTTCATTATGTCCATTGACGGTATTGGAATGGTGGGCAGTATTGAAAATATCGTTTCCAGTTATTCTATTGGATGAAGTTCTTAAATATGTTGCTCGTAATTTTGTTGATGGTAAAATACATTCAAAAAATGATGCTACTATTTTCAAAAAAGCTTCTACTTCTACTCCCAATCCTCCTCATTATAAACATTTCGATTCCTCTTCATCTTTATCTTCTTCTTCTACTTCTTGTTCCGTTTCCTTCATCACAAAAGATCATAAAACCAATCAAAATCTAAAAGAATTAATTTTATTAATTTTAACATGGATATCATATTTCTTAATATTATTATCAACATCAAATGAATTATCTGATTTAGTGCCCACTATTGATATTTATTCATGTTTATTTGGCTAATGATTTTTTAAAGAAATAATCTCTCTCTCTCTCACTCTATATATCTTTTAATAATCTATTTCTATTCATTACAATATCCAAATATTCAATGTGTCATGCAAATTAATTTAATTTAACAAACAACAAAAACTACAAAAAACAATTTACAATCCCCCGTTCTATATGTGTGTGTGTGTTTCCCCCTTTTCTTAATCCATATTTGTTCACTTGTCACTGGTTTCTTTCTATGTTTGTTTGTTTTGGTTGATTGGGTGTCTTTTAATCTCATAATTTCGTCGTGTGTTTATCCTATTATAATATTAACAACAAAAAAAAAATTTCACTTTTTACCTACCTTATTTGGTTTCCTTTCTTTCCATTCTTTGCGTCTGTCTGTTTGTTTTTATTGTTTCTGAATGCAAAAAAAACAACCCCTCCATTTTTCAAATTTTTTTTGGTTACATTCCAATCCACCAGAGTGCAGCATTGGTTTCATTTTTGCTTTATTTTTATTTTATTTTGATTTTTTCTTTTTTTTTAACCTTTTTTTTTCTTTTTATTTTTTTTCCAATCTTTTAACCCCCCTAAATTCTCTATCCATTTTCAACCCGATCATCACTTAATCATCACCACCAAACAGTTACTGCAAACATGGACACGGGATCGAAGAAACGAAAATAAATAACCAGAACAAACAAAAAACTCACTGAAAAAAATGGAAGAAAAACCCCAAAGAAAACTGCAATAAAATTAATTAATTATAATTAAATAATCCTTAATTACCTTTCTCCACCACCACCACCACCAATCAACCAACCAATCATCATTATCTCATTATCTAAATGAATGAAACTGAAGGGTTAAATAATAATAATAATATAATTTAATTTGATCATATTTAAATTATTCTTCTTCTTGTTCTTGTTGTTGTTCTTGTTATTTTCACCTATTTTCATCCTCATCATCAACATCATCATCATTTACACCTATTTCCACCTATCCATCCACTTTCGAAACAAAAATGTTATAAATAGATTACATATTAGCCCAAAATTGTCCCCAGATACAAAAAAAACTCACATTAGAAATTCTATCTAAAAAGAATATTTAGGAATTTTAGAATATTACCTGGATTCGAATCCACTAAACAGAGAGAAAAAGACACAGCCAAATTACACACTATATCCACATAATAATAATAATCTAGGTTGTTGTTGTTAAAATGTTTTTAAAAAATTTAAAAAAAAAATTGATAATAATAAATCCTGTATGTATCATGTATCCTCTATATATCAATATCTTTTGTGTGTTGAATTACTACAAATCCTTATTTCGACTTCCTAATTCAATTCAAAATTTGGCCCATTCATAAACATCATTATCATTAAATGTGGGTGGCTTTTGTTTCGTTGTTTCGTTGTTGTTTCGTTGTTTGTTTCCATTCAATCGATCGAGATACACAATAATCATCATTTCAATCGATCAATTTGATCACTTGATCGAATCCTCTTTTCATTCGATTTCGATTTGTTTTTCCTTTAATAATCATCAGTCGATCGATCGTTAATGAACTCTATTGTGGATCGATCAATTTCACCAAAAAACACCTGTTGATCATTATTCTGACCAAAGATATACGGAAATGAATTATATCGATAGTATCGATGTCTTTGAGGATTTTCTTTTTTTCTTTTGTTTGATTTCGATTTCCTTGATGATCCATTAGCATCCTCATTAGTATTTTGATTTGTTTTTTGCTTTGCTTTGATTGCAAAAAGGATTGATTTCATGATGATATCATTTTCATTTTTTTTCGAAAAAATCAAACAAGAGAAAAAAGTTAATCGAATCCGATTAATGGATGATCAGTCATCAGTCATTAATCAGTCAGTATTTATATGATCCGATCATCCGTATCAATCGATATCACGATCCGATCTCTGATTTGATTTGATCTTTGATCTGATCGATGGTTTCATCTTTTTTTCATTCAAACTTCAATTAATAACATTTCATTTGATCGAATTGACATTATTCCCAGATATTTAGCAGCAAAAAAGAAAATCTTTTTTTGTGAATTTTAAGCCTGGTGGCCATTTTCGGGCTTTCACTTTCTATTTTTGGTTTGTTCCAATTTTCATTTGTTTTTTTTGTTTTTTCCCCTTTCGAATAATTTGGGGTTAAATAAGTTTTTTTTTGCTGAAATGAATATTCAACAAAACAAGCCTTGAATTCATTTTCGAGAAAAAATGAATGGATTGTATTGAAATTTTCGTTTGTTTGCTGTAAATTTCTTCATTTTGAAAAAAACGTGTTTTCAAATTGGTTGACCATGATGATGATGAATTTATAATTCAATTTGACCGTTTTGGAGTATGCGAATTGAAGTAAAGTAAATGAAAAGTAAATGAACTTTTTCGTTTTTACATTTTTTTACATTGAATCAAAAACACGAAGAAGTAAAAAGCAAAGAAGAAATTACGGTTAGGAAAAAAAAATTTGTTCCCTTAAATTTTTTATTGATTCGCTTAAATTTGGCTTTCAAGGAAAGCAATGGTATTATTGCCTACAATTTTCGAAACAATTTTTTTGTGAACGTGCTAAATGTTCATTCGATTCGCTTCAATTATCAATTGATTCACTTGTTTCTGTTTGATTTCATAATCCACTATTGGATTTCAACATGATGATGGACAGAAAATCAATCAGTTACAATCACTTGTCAGATTGGTCAAGCAAAATGAAAATCAATTTGAATTTTTTCAAAAAAAACGGCAGAGAGATTCTAATTGAGTTCAAATACGTGATGATTATTGATCAGAGGAAATCAGGAGAAAAATCAAAAATCAATCGGTTTTTTTCGCCAAACAGGTGTCGATTCCACATTTCGGAAATAATCCAAAAATCGATAATTGAGAAACATAGATCTGATGACATGGATCCCGAACCTATCAATTATTTTATCAACGAAATAAAGTTAAAATAGCCGATTTGAATGATGGATTCAAATTCGGCTATTTCAACCTTGTCGGTCATTTTATCTTGTTTGCTTATCTTTCCAATTATTTTTCTATTTTTGTATTCGAAAAAACAATGTTCAAATCGATTCGATCGATCGATCGATTGTTTGTTTCGATCAAAAATGATCTGAATATTTAATGTGGCGGATAATCTTTGGTTGTTTGCTTGTTTGCTTGTTTTTCGGTTTACAAATCCTCTTATGGCCTTGTTTTGTTTGAAGGACAAGTCATGATGTTTGTTTCTCGTCATGTTTTTCTTGTGTGTCCATTTTAGGATCTCTTTTTTCGAGAGAAAAAAAAGGGGAATCCATAATAATAACAATGGAAAAATCATGACCAATTCCATCATCATCATCCAATATTGTCCTTCAATGATGATAATTTCGACTGACATGGCCATTGATGATGATGCAATAATAAACCACAAAGTGTGTTCTATGTTTGTTTTCGTTTTTCCGCCTTGAAAGCTGATTGACTGAATGAATGAATCGAGTAAATCGCCTGGCTCGTTCAAAACATGACGCCAACGCGCCAATTTGATGATGATAATGTTAAAATAGTGTTTAGTAGTTGTTGCCATTTTTCAAAAAAAATCGATCTATATTTGTCAATAATGGCGAAAAAACGAAAGAAAAAAAAGCGTAAAAATCATTCAACCGCAAAAGAATATTTACGGGGAAAAAAGTCGGCAATAAATTTTTGGGGAAGTTTCCGTTTTTTTTTATTTCTGTCATTTCAACCCGACCATCACACATCAAATACATCAAATACACCTTTACCTTTTGAAATAAAGTATTTCAATGACAATGTTGTGGTTGTCAAAACGTAAAAACATTCCGTCAAAAAATGCATTCCGTCAAATCAATGTCCGTTTTGGATTTTTTATTAATAAAAAACAAAAAAACGACCAGGTTGAGTGAAAATAGACACACACATTGATGGCATGAAATGTTTTCAATGGCTATAAAGGATATTCATGCTAGAATGATTAAAACAAATAAAACCAGGTAAACAGAAAAACCAGGTAAAATTTTAATTTCAAAAAAAACAAAACAAAATTTACCTTTAATTAAAGTCATTTCCACTTCTATTTCCACCTCACCAACAGTTTGTTTATTCAGAGTGTTTGATCACTTGATCACAAGAAGTTTTTTTAACCCGGAATTTTCATTTTGGAGAATATCATCATCAATTAGGGAAAAACAATTGGTTGATCCGGTGCTTGGTTGATTGCTTACCTTACTTTTCCCTACTTTCTTACTTTCTTATCGATGTGGTAAAGTTATTACAGATTTCGAAAAAGAAAAAAAAACGTACACGCGACATATTGCACATTGCATGTTGATCATTGATGATGATGATTGTTTTGTAAATGTCTAAATATAGCCCATTTTCTGCTGTTGTTGCAATGTTAATGATGATAATGATGATGATGAACAAAAAACAAAAAGAAAAAAACAGAAAAAAAATCGAAAGTAAAGTACCATTTTACTATATCGACACACACACAACATTTACATGCGGTGTGTAAATGGGCTCATCGTTTTTTTTTCTGTTTGCCAAAAAGAACAATTGTCGCCTCTGGAAATGGTTGGTTGGCTGACTGGTTAGATAATTTTCGGATGATACCATTGCGTAATTGGTCTTTCTGTTTGTCTTTTTGCTTGTTTTGTTTTGTTCGTTAGTTAGCTTAAATAGTCACGGAAACAAATTGTAACAAAGTTTTTGTTCAATCAACTTTTGTTTGTCATTTTTTTTCCAAATCAATTAATCAATTTGATCTCGATTTTCATCCAAAGTTTTTTGTTTGAATCATTTTGTCATTCTGTATTTGTGAATATCCACCATTAATAACCGATAAAACATCCTTCCGATTACTTTCAATGTATGAACAAAAACCATTATTCGGAAATTCCACTGCATGATTATCATTTTTGCTAAAGAAAAATAATGTTTGCCTCCGTTGTTTGTCTAATATCTCAGTCGGTAGGTCAGCAATTCAATGATGATGATAATGGCCATCATCATCATAATAATGATGATGATGGCCCACTTAACCAAGATCTTATTTCGGTCTGGCAGATTGTTGTTGTTGTTGTTGTCGAAGACTATACCCCTTTTTTTTATTATCAACAACAACAACAACAGCCTGAACCTGAACAGTTGAAAAAAAACATGATTTTTTTTTTGCCCAAAAAAAACATCTTTGCATCTCCATCACTATATAGGATGTTATATAACCCGTTTCTGGTCAGTCAGTTGGTATGATCGGTTGGTCAGTTTTTGTTTCTTTGCTACGGAGGTCATTCCCAAAAATCTCCTGATTAATTAATCAATCAATCAATCAGTCAAATCAAAACATTTTCATCTTGAATTGATGTTCCAATCTAATTTGACCACTGACACTGACACTGACCACCACCACCACCACTACCCATTACGGTCACACACAAAGGTCAAATCGCTCTAAACATATGGCCATGGAATGATCCACAACGGCGACTGCAATAAATAGATATCCTGGGGTTGAAAAACTTGCCAAAAAAACCAAAAACCAAAACAGCAAAATGTTTGCATAGGATCAACGACGACGACAAATGATACTTGTCACATGCCAGCCACATTTCTTTTTTTCTTCTGCTGGTTGCTGATAATGTAAGAAAATGTTCATCGTCGTAGCCGTTGCAGCAGAAAAACTCTGGTGCACTATCTTTTATCAAACAGTTTTTTTTTTGCTTTCCACATGCTTATCATTTTTTGTTTATTTATTTTGCTCAATTTTTTTCTTTGCTCGAAAAGAATCCTAAATAACCAATAACAAAGTGTTAAATGTTGCCTGAAATTGTACACCCTTTTTTTTTGATTTTTGATTTCTGGATTTTTTTACATCATCATCATTGAATCAAGGTAAATGTTTGTTTGTTTGTGTGACCAACGAACCGAGAAAATTCAAAACAAAATTCAAAAATTCACGAAACAACAACAACAAAAGACAGCAGCTGTACACATCTTTACCGCTGTTTTGTTTTGGTCATATGGAATTCATATTTTCATTCTTCGCCATTCATCGCAATCACATACATTTTTAAATCACCCAACCTTCCATTGCAAAACATTTTCATCATCACCATCATCATCATCATCAACGAATGATGGTGATAAACACATCTCTCTCTCTCCCTCTCTCACTGTAACAATTCTCCATTGAAAATGAAGAATGTCCACCACCATTATCATCATCATTATCATCATTATTTTCATTGAGAGAGACATCCTTTTTTTTCACGATTTTGTTGTTGTTGTTGTTGAATAACAATTGCCATTTTTTGTTTGTTTGATTCATTTCATTTCATTGTATCCAGTTCTCTCTCATTTTTCTTCAACATTTTTCTCTTTCTATTCGTTTTTCGCTTTTTTGCATTGTTAAACTGTATTCCAACGAGAACTAAGTTCAGCCAAACGAATGAAAAACAACAACAAAAATTCAATTCAGTTGGCAAAAAGTCGCCAAGCAAGATTGTAGCCAGTTTTTGTCTGTTGTTAACTTTGATAAAACTTTTAAAAAAATCTTCTAGTCACACAATATCCATCTACATTTCTTCTTCTTCTGTTTCGTCTTCAGCAACCATCAAACATCATCGTCTTCGTTGATGATGATGATTTAGGCGCCAATCCAGTCTGGTCACTGGGTGAGTTTTTCGTGTATCTGTGCTATCATTACCATCCTTGTGCGTAGTGGTTAGTTTTGGTTTTTGGTTTTCTTCGAAAATCCGAAATTCTTCTTCGTCGTTGTTGTTGTCCGAATTCCTTTTTTCATTCGACAACAACAACAACAACAATTATCAGCTGACAAAATGGACCATTCGCCAATTTGGCGGATCCAGAATTGAAAAACCAGCCAAATCAAATTGGACTGGACCGAATAAACGTGAATTCTCTTTCTGTGTATCTTTCAGTGTTTGTGTGAAACCGAAACGCGCATGTAAATTCAAGACAATCAACGAAAAAGATGCGACAAACCAAACAAACAAATTTTTACATCTACATCAGCAACGATCCAAAAAAATTTGTTTTGGTTTTGTTTTGTTTCTTCTTCTTTCTTTCGTTCAAATTCATTGCACCAAATTCGTCAATTCAAGTGCAATTCATATATGAATCACACACACACACACACGGCATTCTAGAATCCAGAATCCAGAATCTAGAAAACGGTGCCTGCGCCTGTGAATGCTTCGTGCCCTTGTGTGTTCTGGTGTTTGTTTTTGTTCGTGAAAGTTCATCTCAACTGGTAAACACTGCTGGTACCGGCTTCTTTGTTTTGGTTTTTCGGGTTTTGTTTTCATTGCTTAATTTGCAACATTTTGATGGTGATTGAGTCGAAAAATTCTTCAACAACTTCTAGGCCCAAACATCCAATTATCATCAACTTTTTTAAATTGTCGACAAATGTGACAAACAAACAACAAACAACAGCAATAATCCACTGTTTTTCAATTCGGCTATCAATCAATTTTTCTTCGATTAAATTCATTCGTAAATCCAATTTGAATTTTGGAAAATCCAAAAATCAAAAAACACATAGACAACGCCTCTACAAAATATTACCATGTAAGTAGTGAAAAGCCACACAAAGTTTTTTCACTGAAAACAAAAAACACCTTTACAAAATACAAAATATTCATCAAAACAGAACGGATAATTATATGGCTTACCATTATCATTATAAAGATATTTGTCAAAAAATTCACTAAAAAAATGGTGAATTTAGTAGAAAAAAATGGTTTTTCGTAGAGAGAAAAAACTCGTGTGTGTGCAAATCAAACGAGTGATCAACACGTGTTGAAAATGAAAATGAAAAGAATGACATTCAATCATTTTCACACACACCAAACACACAGAAAACTACAATGTATTATCCAATATAAAGATGTTTTTCTTTTCTTTCTTTCTTCAAAAAAAATTAAAACGTAGCACAGAAAAGGATAATAATGATGTGTGTTGAACAAATCCATTTTTCTATGTCAGTTTTCATGTCAATCATTGAATCAAGGCAGAAATCAAAAAGTTTTTCTAATTTTCGCACTTGGCATTGCTGTCATCATCGTCATTTTGTTGATGATTGTTTGATTGGACAATCATTAATTGAGAGAAGCGATTTTTGATTGAATCGAATCAATCAATCAATCGATTGATTGATGAACAATACTTAAGGGATCTTCTTCATCGTCAAGCATCTGATCTAATTTCGGTAAAGTTTCTGGAAATCTTCTGAAAATTTTCCCTTGAAGTTTTGACCATTCCTGAAGGTCACAACTCTGTTCTATTCTTTTTCTGAATGCTAATTTTAGCCGCTTTTAGTGGATTTTAATCCTTTCTTCTTAAAGACGTGATCTATGTGTCTATGTAATTTTCCAAAGAAAAAGTTCCCTGGAAACAAAATAGCCATTGTCCTCATTCATTTCATTGGTCATTTCTTTTCTCTCTAAAATAAACAAGTGAAAACTTTCCAATCGATAATTCCTGTTTTTGTCTGAAACAATAATACAGGTACTAACCAGGTATCCGATTCAAAAATCGATCGATCAATCAATCAAAAATCTAATCGATCGATTTGTCATCATCAATTGATGATGATAAACAATGTGACTATCAATTTAATTCAAACAAAAAAAGGTTTTCCAATTCAAACAGAAACTTTTCAGAAAACTTTTTTTTTCAAAAAAAAAACTTGCTTTGATTTCCGCATTTGAAAGAAGAAACATTCCTTGTTTGTTTGGATGATGATGAGAAAAATGCAAATGTTTTTTACTGAAAAACTTTTTTTGAAGAAGAAAAAATTCGTCAACGGATTATAGACGATGATGGTGGTGGTGGTGGTGGTGGAAAAAAATCTTCAGGTATAATTCATCTTCATTACCTGGCTGATAAAATCATCATCAAAGATTTACCTGCCTGCCTTACCTGGTGATCTTGCTTACAAATTGAATATTTCTATTTCAAAAAAAAAAAAAAAATCATTTCGAAATGTGTGAAATTTTCTGTTTTTTTGTTTTTTATTATCATTCGATACATATCGATCGTTTCGTTGTTTTTTGTTTTGTTTTTGCTTTGTAGGCGAAAAAGAAATAGGCCAAAATCGTAAATATATTGTTTGAATTTTGATCTCTGTGTGTGTTTGATGTTTGATGTTTACAATCAATAAGTTTATCAATTCTGTTTACCAATCAAAAAAAATCTGATAACATTTTTTTTGAAGGAAAAAAAGATTTTGACATTTAATCTCTCTCTCTCTCTCTTCTTTCCTTTGTTTTACGATTCTTGAAGAAGAAATTCTTGTTGTTTTCAAAACCAAAATGAATTATGCAACCTAGTTTTGTTTTTTTCCAACCGAAACAAACAAACTTAACTCAAATACACAATACCTTTTACATGGGCAAAACTTTTCTCTCTCTCCTGCCTCGATGGATGGATGGACGGTCAATGTTGATGATGACCATCGTAGCATCGACATCAGAAAAAAAAGTCGACTGGATGGATACATTTGTGGTCCAATTTTTTTTCTCTCGATTTTCGGGTTCAGGTTCGGGAATGATGAAAAATGTATCCAATCTGCTGCTGCTGAAGATGATGTGCGAACGATGATGATCAACAACAAACAAAACAAAACAAAACAAAACGGCGAACTTGTTTTCACACAAGCCCTGTTTTTTTCTTTCTTCGAAAGTTGCTTGAAGCAATGATGATGATGATCAGAGCTTGCTTAACACACAGAAAACAAAAATTGATTATACCTTGCTCGCTAGCTAGCTTGCTCGGTCAAGTTCGCCATCATCATCAAGTCAGTTAGCCAAGCTTTGTTGCTTCTGCCAATTTTCATTGATTTTTTTTTTTGTAAATATTCATCCTGGAGCCATTCAAAGATGATGATGACCATCACCATTATTAATTATGGATGCTTTTCATTTTTGGCCGATTTTTTTTTCTGCTTGCTGTTACCTGATTGAATGACTGACTGACTAACCAAATTGGTTGTTGGGGTTAGTTGGCCAAAAATTTTTTCTGGTTGCGCCACTGATGATGAGGATGATCAGGATGATGAACGGAAAAAATGCTGAATAAAATCTGACAGGTGTAGCGATGTAGTGATCTGATTTTAATCATGTAATCATCATCAGGATCAGGATCAGGATAGCCATTCATAATCGATAATTACATGCAAATTTTTTCCATTTTTCAGAAAATCCATTCGAAATACTTTGTTTTTGGAAGAAATTTTTCTGATTTCCAATAGCGATTCTCTCTGTGTTTGTTTGGTGGATTTTGAATTCTTTTAATCTCTCTCTCTTTCTCTCTCTCCCCCTCTCTCTCTCTCTCTCCATAATTCTCATTGACAGATGTTGTTGGTGGTTGTTGTTGTTATTGGCGATGGCATCGGTGAATGACACGCGATATATGTCCCAAAAAGAGAGAAAAACAGAAAATCTACTGTTGCTGTTGTTGTTGTTGTTATTCAAATGATGCGTTCATTTTTTTTTATTTAAATAGTTTCTATATTTAAAACACACAAACTAAATGTTTGGGCGTCTGTTCAATGAGTACTGTTCGTGGCCAAAGGTTAAAGTTAAAGTTTGTTTTTCTTCTTTTGAAGAAGATTTACAGTTTAGTTCAGTTTTGGATTTGAACAAAAAAAACCGATTTTTTGCATTTCTGTAAAAATCTTTCATCATCTTCATCACAACTGATGATTGTTTCGTCGTTTCGTTTTGTTCGTGAATTTCAAAAGAATATTTTCTTCTTTTTCCCCCCCATTTTTTCTCCATCACACTCTATATGTGTGTGTATCGGTGTGTCCAAAAATAGACATCCGAATCACCATTAACAATTGGTGATGTGATGTTTGCTGTGTTGTTTATCTTTTTTATCGTTTTTGTTGTTGTTGTCGTTTTTTTGTTGTTGTTGTTGTTATTTGCACATGAATTGTTGTTGTTTTCTGATGATAAATTTAGAATTTTATTATTTTCATCATCATCATCATCATCTCCTTATATATAAGAAACACACATTGATGATGATGATAATGCATCATCTTCAAAAAAAGTGTCGATGATCGATCAGTGAGCAGATTGCATCACATCATTATTTTCACAGATTGTCTTCTCTCTCTTACTCAACTTTTTATATGCAAATTTTATTTTATTTGCATAAAAAAACTGTTGTTTTTTTTCGTTTTTTGTTTGCTGTTAATCAAACAGAATTAATTGAACCCGGAATAGTATTTAAAAGATTTGTTTCAATTCAATTATCAAATTGATTTGATTCAAATCAATTTAACACTGGATTTGAAATTGATTAATTAAGAAACTCGATTGAATCATTAGACACTTATTACTAATTGATGTTTAATCAATGTCTAATATGATTATCATCAAGTAAAGCTTTAACGGATTTAAGCAAAAATCTTTGCCAAAATCCGTTTTTCGTTTGTTTGTTTAGTTTTTCTCTTTTCCATTCTATAGCTTTTTAGCATCCACAAATGTTCAATGAACTTATTTTTTCGTTGTCGAAATGTTTCAATGTTTATAATAGAAAAAAAAAACGAAGAACGAAGAAGAAACCATCCATATTTATCGTTCATTCATTTTTGATTAATAGGCAAACATTCATTCGGTTGATTACAGTTGATTACTTGATCAATATCATCATCTCATTACACATGTCATCCCATTTAAAATAATGTTTTTTTCCCCGCAATTTCGCAATTCCTCTGTGTGTGTAGGTGTTCTCAGCTGTAATCAACAACAATTAACCACAAGTTACCATAGTAATGATAATTTTCATTGACAAACCTTGTTTTTGTTCTGTTTTTTTCCAATCAAACAATCGAATCGATTCAATTCGATCTTGTTTTGTTTTTTATCTCGTCGTCGATGATGATGATTTGAATATCTATTTCAATTTCGATTCATTTCGATACGTTTTATCACGATAAAAACATTAAGATTTTGTTGTTTTTCGTTCGTGAACTGACCATTGTCCATTTCGTACCAATGTACCATTATGTTTGATGCATGATTGGAGCAAAATGAGAGAGAGAGAGAGAGAGAGAGAGAGAGAGAGAGAGAGAGATATATTTTTTAAAAAAAAAAAAAAAATAAAAAAA